AAGCGGGTGTAGCAATCCTAATATCTAACAAATTAGACTTCAAATTAAAATCAATCAAAAGAGATGAAGAAGAGCACTTCATATTCATCAAAGGAAAAATACATCAAGACGAAGTCTCAATTTTAAACATCTACTCCCCAAATACAAAGGCACCTACATTCGTGAAAGAAACTTTACTAAAGCTCAAAATGCACATAAAATCTCACACACTAATAGTAGGAGACTTCAACACTCAGCTCTCACCGCTAGACAGGACCTCCAGACAGAAACTTAACAAAGAAAGAAAAGAACTAATAGAAGTTATGACCCAACTGGGTTTAACAGACATCTATAGAACATTCCACCCAAATACAAAGGGATATACCTTCTTCTTGGCACCACATGGAACCTTCTCTAAAATTGACCACATAATAGGAAACATAGCAAATCTCCACAGATACAAAAAATTGGAATAACCCCCTGCATCTTATCATACCACCATGCATTAATATTAGAATTCAGCAGTAACACAAATCGCAGAAACCCTACAAACTCATGGAGATTGAACAATGCACAATTGCACCATCCCTGGGTAAAGGAACAAATAAAAAAAGAAATTAAAGACTTCCTCGATTTCAATGAGAATGAAGACACAACACACACAAACTTATGGGACACTTTGAAAGCAGTGCTGAGAGGAAAGTTTATAGCACTAAGTACCCACATGAAAAAACTGGAGAACAGTCATACTAGAGAATTAATAGCACAGCTGAATGTTCTAGAACAAAAAGAAGCAAATTCACCCAGGAGGAGCAGATGCCAAGAAATAATCAAATTGAGGGCTGAAATCAATCAAGTAGAAACCAGACAAACACTGAGAAGAATCAATGAAACAAAGAGTTGGTTCTTTGAGAAAATCAACAAAATAAATAAACCTCTGTCCAAACTAACCAAAAGACAGAGGGAGAGCATGCTAATTAACAAAATCAGGGATGAAAAAGGGGACATAACAACAGACTCAGAGGAAATCCAGAGAATCATCAGGGCATACTTTGAAAATCTTTACTCCACAAAATTTGAAAATTTAAAGGAAATGGACAATTTCCTGGATAGATATCACTTGCCAAAACTAAATCAAGAACAGATAAACAATCTAAACAGACCTATAACCCCTAATGAAATAGAAGCAGTCATCAAAAGTCTCCCAAATAAAAAAAGCCCAGGCCCAGATGGCTTCAGTGCAGAATTCTACCAGAAATTCAAAGAAGAGCTAATTCCAATACTCCTCAAAGTATCCCACACAATAGAAGGAGGAGGCTCACTGCCAAACTCTTTCTATGAGGCTACAATTACCTTGATACCCAAGCCACACAAAGACACAACTAAGAAAGAGAACTATAGACCAATTTCCCTCATGAACATTGATGCAAAAATACTCAATAAAATACTCGCAAACCGGATTCAAGAACACATCAGAAAAATCATCCACCATGATCAAGTAGGCTTCATCCCAGGAATGCAGGGATGGTTCAACATTAGAAAATCTATCAATGTAATCCACCATATTAACAATCTGCGAAAGAAAAACCACATGATCATCTCACTAGATGCTGAAAAAGCCTTTGACAAAATCCAGCACCCCTTCATGATAAAGGTCCTAGAGAGATCAGGGATAACAGGAACACACCTGAATATAATAAAAGCAATATACAGTAAACCAACAGCTAACATCAAACTAAATGGAGAGAAACTCAAAGCAATTCCTCTAAAATCAGGAACAAGACAAGGCTGTCCACTCTCTCCATACCTCTTCAATATTGTACTTGAAGTTCTAGCTACAGCAATAAGAAAACAAAAGGAGATAAAGGGGATACAAATAGGAAAAGAAGAAGTCAAACTTTCACTATTAGCAGATGATATGATAGTTTACATAAGTGACCCAAAAAACTCCGCAAGGTTACTCCTAGAGCTGATAAACACCTTCAGCAATGTGGCAGGATACAAGGTAAACTCAAAAAAATCAGTGGCTCTATTATATACAGATGATGAAGTGACTGAGAAAGAAATCAGAGAAACATCACCCTTTACAATAGCCAAAAACAGCATCAAATATCTGGGGATAATGTTAACCAAGGAAGTGAAAGACCTGTATATCAAGAACTTTGTGTCTTTAAAGAAAGAAATCAAAGAAGATACAGAAAATGGAAAGATCTCCCATGCTCTTGGATTGGTAGGATCAACATAATAAAAATGGCAATCTTGCCAAAAGCAGTCTACAGATTCAATGCAATCCCTATCAAGATTCCATCACAATTCTTCAAGGACCTGGAAAGAACATTAATCAACTTTATATGGAAAAACAAAAGTCCCAGGATAGCTAAAACATCCCTATACAATAAAGGAACTTCAGGAGGCATCACCATACCTGACTTCTAGCTCTATTATAGAGCTATAGTCCTGAAAACAGCTTGGTATTGGCACAAAAATAGGCAGGTAGACCAATGGAACCGAGTTGAAAGCTCTAATTTTAACCCACACACCTATGAACACTTGATTTTTGACAAAGAAGCTAAAACTGTACAATGGAAAAAAGAAAGCATCTTCAACAAATGGTGCTGGCATAACTGGGTACTGGTATGCAGAAGACTGCAGATAGATCCATGTTTATCGCCTTGTACAAAACTTAAGTCCAAATGGATCAAAGATCTCAACATAAATCCAGCCACACTGAAACTTTTAGAAGAGAAAGTGGGAGATACTCTTCAACGAGTTGGTACAGGAGACCACTTCCTAAACATAACACCGGTGGCACAGGCACTGAGATCGACAATTAACAAATGGGACCATCTGAAATTAAAAAGCTTCTGTAAGGCAAAGGACACAGTCAAAAAGACAAAAAGGCAGGCCACAGAATGGGAAAAGATATTCACTAACCCTGCATCTGACAGAGGGCTAATCTCCAAAATTTACAAAGAACTCAAGAAACAAGTCTCCAAAACACCAAAGGATCCAATTAAAAGGTGGGGTACAGAGCTAAATAGAGAATTCTCAGTAGAGGAGGCTAAAATGGCCAAGAGACACTTAAAAAAGTGCTCAACATCCTTAGCCATCAGGGAAATGCAAATCAAAACAACTCTAAGATACCATCTTACTCCTGTCAGAATGGCTAAAATCAAAAACACCGAAGACAATTTATGCTGGAGAGGATGTGGAGAGAGAGGGACACTCCTCCACTGCTGGTGGGAGTGCCGACTTGTACAGCCACTATGGAAATCAGTATGGAGATTCCTCAGGAAAATGGGAATTAATCTACCACAAGACCCAGCAATTCCACTCTTAGGCATATATCCAAATGAGGCAAGTTCATACAACAAGGGCATCTGCTCCACCATGTTCATAGCAGCATTATTTGTAATAGCCAGAACCTGGAAGCAACCTAGATGCCCCTCAACTGAAGAGTGGATAGAGAAAATGTGGTACATTTACACAATGGAGTATTACTCAGCAGAAAAAAACAATGGAATCTTGAAATTCGCAGGGAAATGGATAGCACTGGAAGAAACCATCCTGAGTGAGGTAACCCAGTCGCAAAAAGACAAACATGGTATGTACTCACTCATATATGGATTTTAGACATGGATCAGGATAGTGCCAGTCTGCACTTCCACTGATAGAGAGTCTGGGAAACAGGAAAGAACCTAAAAGATATGCATATATGCATAGCACCCAAGAGAATCGGATGGAGACAAGATCCCCTGAATGGATGGGGAACATGGCAAGGAGTGGGGGGGAGTGGGACCTGGGAAGAAGAGAGGGGGTGAAAAGGAAGAGAGTTGGTCATGGGGGAACAGGAAGTCTGAGTGGGTGGGGGTAGAATAGGGGGAAGAGGGAATCATAGGATCGAATACAGACCAGGCACCAGAGCGACCTCGAGTGATCTAAAGGGATAACACCAATTGGCAAGCTAAGCAATAGTGGAGAGACCACCTCGAATGCCCATTCCTGATAATGAACTTGATGTCTATAACCAATCGGGAGCCTTCATCATGTGACTGATGGAAGCAGAGGCAAACACACACTTAATCACTGAACTGAACCCAAGGAACCCAGTGACAGAGAGAGAGGAGTGATGATCAAATTGGCAAAGAATGGGCTGGCAAAACCAGCAGAGACAGCTGATCTGAACAGGGGAGAGCTCTTGGACCCCAGAGCGACAGAGGGGAGGCCAGCATGGGACTGATCTGGACCCCCCAAATGTGAGTGTCAGTGAGAAGGCCTGGGCAACCTATGGGGCCCTGAGCTGTGGATCAGTGTCTATCCCTGATATATAAACAGTCTTCATGTGCCTATAGCACAAAGAGGGATGCTCTCCAGCCTGGACTCTTAGGGGAGTGCCTGGACCCTACCCAGAGTAAAATGACAGACTCTGATATCCCCTATGTGGAAGGATTTGGCAATAGGGTGGGAGGTTGCGGGGAAAGGGGAGTGCGGGAGGAGGGAAGGGAGAGGGAACTGGGATTGACATGTAAAACAAGCTATTTAAAATAAAAAAAATTGAAAAAAAATCTAACAAGTTTTTGTTTCAGGTAGAATAAGATGAATGGCAAGAGTTTAAGTAGTCACACAAAAGCAGAACTAAAATGTGACCTGTGATCATGTGACAGATAATTTAAAAACATACCCTAATATGAGTTAGATTACTCATTCTGGCATAAAGAGCGTGTTCAGGGAAGTCTAAGTGTGATAAAGAAAACAGAACCCCACCCTGGAAACTGGACAGGTAAAGAGAATGGCCCAAATGTTAGAAAATTAAAATCAGTATTTACTGGACCAGTACTGAATGGTCAGAAACACTAAGGAAAACAAATCTACACAACTGTAAGCATGTAAGAATTGAAAATTATAAGCATCTTTATGAGCAGAGCATTTTTTAACCTAAGATATAAATCCTTCACTTTAAAACTGTATATAACAAGAATTATTTAATGCTAAAAGAATATGTTAAATGAAATGCACATTGCCTGAGAAAACTGCCGGTGGTGAAAGTAGATATTTCCAGCATTAAAGTAAGCCAGCCAGTACGTGGGGTCCAGAGAAATTGCTGCTCCATAGTCTGTCATTGCATTCTGCTTTTGACCCATAAACTCGTGAATCACACCACGATTTGTTAAGAATTCTGCTGTAGTATTGATCTGCAACATAATCATAGGAGGATTTGGCATCTGGGAATAATATCTATGTCCAATTTCATGTCTGTGAAATGAATGTTATGAAACCCACATGTGGGAACAGGTGCTGTTACAGTGCAGGTAAAACCCAGTTAGAGAAAATATTTTTATAAAGGGCTTGGTAGAAATTGGTTTCATGTCAACACTTTATTGAATGGCTGCATTTAAACAAACAATTTTAGAGCTTTACTCAAGTCCTTTCCAAAGAATAGTCAGGGGGACATCCACCTATTAATCTAAAAATGAGAGAAGACATTAAACTGAATAGGTAACATGCTTCATTGTCCTATGTAGAAACAATTATCTTTAAGCCCATCCTTTTTACCCCTTTATTGCTTCTATAATATTCCAAAATTGCAGAAACAAAGCAAAAAATCTGGAAGAGAATTCAAAGCATGAGAAAGCTGTCCCTTCACTATAGGAAGAAATCAAGCATCTATAGTGTTCTCTAATTGCTTCAAACTTGGGACATCACTGTTCCATTTTGAATTAATTTTGTATTACAAAATACATTCAGATCCTATGAAACATACAAGGTGCATTTGCTAAAATGAATAATTATCTCTAATTTGGTTTTAAATTTTAAATGTATTTAGATTGCAAAATAAGAAAACCATAAAAACTCTTTACCCTAGGCACAACTCTGGGGAAACAAAATCTTATTTCTCTACCTTTCACTTAAAATGGGTAACACAAAGTAACTTGCTTAGACTCATTCATTGATGATATGAATACATGCTAATAATATTATCATCAATATATATTTTACCTTTATGGCACTGTTAATATCCTGCATTGCAGCAAAATTATTACTCATCTGAAGACAAACCACAGCTCGTCCTTCATAGGCTAGATAGCTCTTTGGATCAGCCTCTGTGGCAATAGTAAAGTGATTCCAAGCTTTCTGGAATTTTCCTTGGGCCTAAAATAGTTATTCAATTTCATTAAACAAGAAACGGTCTGTAACATGACAAATGTTTCTGTGTCTTACTCATTAAAATCTTTGGAGATGTATATACTTTGGAGATGGTACTAAAGATAAGGTATTTTAAATAAAAAAGCAAGCTACAAAATGAGTATCTTCAATGACCTAATTGCCTTTAAGTATTTATGATCAAATAATGCTCAAATAAATTTAATTTTATAGTCTACTAATTTAGACAACTTAAAGTCATAGCAACTACATGACACCCATATGTCTGTTGACTATTGAAAACTTACATTGAAATCCACAAATAGTTGGAAGTGGAGGCATACGCTCAGGAGGCAAAGGTAGGCACATCACTGTAGGTTTGAGGCCAACCTGGTCTACACTAAGTGTTTGTGTGTGTGTGTGTGTATGTTTGTAGACAGACAGGTAGGTAGATATTTCAAATGTCTATAATATATGCATAACACACAAATCAAAATTAGTATTGCTACATAAATAAACGGAGTAATAGTACAAATGAATTGTTCCAGCATCTGGAATTTTAGGAACACTTTATATACTCCACAGAAGATGGATGCGTGAAAATCTACCAAGCATCTGTTTTTAACAACCTTGGAGCCAACTGGAGAAAAGAGAAAAAAGGTCATGAGACAGGCACCATTAATAGAGGGACGACAGAGTGTTTCCTAGAGCAGGCCAGCTGGCAACTAAACACCTCCCCACAGGAAGGCAGGGAGTTAATTAATTCACGATGGTCCAGCTTCTGTTCTTCCTCTCATGGGCTCAAATACTCAACCTGCCGGAGTCTCAGAGGCTGGCACACTCTAACCATGCTGAGCCCAGTGACTCCCACATAAAGCTATAAAGAAATATAACAACAAGGAGGACTAGATCCCGATTCCTAAGGAGCAACCGCTCTGAGTCAAGTATTACGAAATCTGCAAGCCATCACAAGTTCATCTAATAAACCAAAGTAGGCAAACTGAGGTTGCACTATCAGAATATTAAACTGCAAACCACCTCACAATAGGATTTAACTTATCAGTTGTTCTGACATCTGCCATTCTCACTGTGATAGCCCCAGTCATAGGTTAACAGTAGAGAATCTACATGTATTTCCCTGAAAAGCACATGGATGGCCCTAACTCTTCTCTATTGGCTCCTCCCTTTCCTGATTCACTCCCACATACTGATGTGCTTTTCAATCCCCATTCCTGGTTGTATATCCAGTGGGATTTTCACAAAATACAAATTTGATGGCGTGCCTCCGATTAGTGATATTCCCGTTAGTGATATTCCCATTTTAAAATAGACCTCAAAATTTTTATTCCAGGTTTCATTTAATTCTCTGGTGTCATCAAAAATCGCACTCTCTCTACCACATTCTGCTCTGCCTCTTCTTACAATGTGTCCTTTGTTGTTCCCTTCATCTCAAGAGTAAATCCTAGCCCTAGTCCCTCCCCTACTGAACTACTACTAGTCTTTCACACCTCAACAAACATATAAATTTATCAGTAAGTTCTCTTACCCCTTAGTTGGGTTTCTTTGTACCAAACACTCTTTGGTTTGTTTGTTTTATTTGTGTTGCACTTATTGCAATTACAATCAAATAATTATTCATGCACATAACAGTGCCTTTCTCTCCAATCAAGGAGTTTAACTATCCAAAAGAAACTGTGTTTCTTATAGAAGGCTGTCTCTGGGGACTAAGAACCACTCCTCATCCATATTGTAGGTGCTCAGCCTGTGAATGGTGTGAGAGTATTGCATTGGCTGTCAGTCAGGTCTAGCTCTCATAAAGTCCTCCAATCCATTCTTTAAGTGGGCTGTGGATTGTTTATATTGTGTTTAGAATGAGAATTTTAGGTTTAATTCTAGGAAGGCAATCTTTTCTCTCTAACGCGTTCCTGGGCACTGGTCATGATAACAACCAATCCCGTGTCTTCCAACACTGTCTATCAGTCTTGGCTGAGCTGAGGTTCAGCTAAGCATGTTCTCTGTGTTAATTGAGTCCTTGCTCCCCACTCCTACCCTCCATACTACAGTAAAGGAAAACTACATGTTCATAGCCTGAGAAATAACATCTGTCCACATCACCAGTAAAAAGTCAAATATTTCTATTTTTCTGTCCACACGATGCTTTCAGTGCTGAAAACGGTGTTATATTTTACCTGCAAATTATAGCCTAGGCTAATTCTGGCTTTTGAAGATGCTGGGTCAAGATGCAGCGCTCTCAGGAAGTCCTTCTTTGCTAGCTTCAGGGCTTCATCCTGTCCGTACTCCATGTAAGAATTCCCCCGTCCAATATAAGCATCCAGAAAACACGGATTAATTTTAACAGCTCTGGTAAAGAAATCAACAGCTCCTTCAAATTCCTTAATCCTGAAAAGAAGCCAAAGGAAAGAAAGAAAATATGATGCCTTCTGGTGAACTGAATAGCAACCTGTTCAATCCTTTCTGCATATGACTTTCCCCAAAAGATCTGTATTAAAAATTATAGACATTCATTTATTTTTATTATCTATCATAGGAAGTACATAAGTCTATAAGATCTACAGTAGTTCAGAAGAATTGCTGGAGGTTTTGGTAAGGAGAAGAAGGGAAGTAAAAATCCTTTTCAAGGGCCACAAGAGGGCTCATGGGTAAAGGCACTTGCCGCCAAGCCTGATGACCTGAGTTTGATCTCAGTAACCCATATGGTAGAAGGAAATAGCTATCTAGCATCCACATGTGTGTATGTTTACAGAAAATGGATAAATAAATATAAAAAATTAAAACCCATTTACAGCACAATGTAGAATTTTATTCTAGAATTCTGTTATTCAAAAATACAGACACCTAATGGCAGTCCTATTACCAATACAGGAAAACGTGCACTGATATTGACAACATATGCCATGTAAACTACAGTCTCAATCCATCTAATAATGCTTCAGTCTACAGAGAACCATATATACAATGATAATCTACACTATAGAGATGCCATAACCATATTCATTTTTATAAGTATACTTAGGATTCTCACATAACAACAAACTTGTCTCATAATGCCTTCTATGGAATATACCCCATAATTGAATGATTCGTATCATACATTAAAAATAAATTTATATATTTTAGTATTTCTTTTCTTCTTAAAGGACATCCCATTTCATTGGGGGCATCAATGAAAACAATGACCTCGCATATTGTTTAGTAAGTATTTTTTTCAAGGCTTGTCCATAACAGCAACAAAAATAATTGAGGGATGGAAAGGTGCTGTGGTTGAGAATGCTTACTGTTATTTATTGCAGGACCAGGTTGGGTTGCTAGCCACCCATATCAGGTATCTCACAAGCATTCATAATTATACTTCTAGGGATCTGATGCTCTCTGGACTCCTTGGTCACACATGCATACATATAAATAAAAATAATTAATCTTACAGAAAAAAACCCTCATGATTTTGTGGCCATGTTTTTGTTGTTGTTGTTGTTTTTGTTTTGGGTCAAACACCACCAAAAGGTGTGCACTAAGTGGCATCTAGACTATCACACAAGGATCAACACTGAAGCAGTAGTCATGTGACCTTTGATGTATCAGACAGGCAAGGGCTGACAATGGCCTTCATGAGTTCATTCTGTGTGCGGTTGCTCAGAAATCACTCTCTGTAATTTATGGTGGCCACACTGCTTTCTCACTATTTAAGGTGTGCCAATTCATTTGAATGCAGGATCACAGTGCCTCTCCAGGTACCATCTTGGTGGATTACATCAGCAATTCTATATACAGACTATACCTATTTATCAAGAATAAAGATGGCATAGGAATTCTTTGTAAAATGCATTTGCTGACAGGTTTCCTTATATTCAGTATTTTCACCAATAAGTAGAGACATATTTACTTGCAACATGTACCTGCATGGTCTATATATTCTGTATTTTACAGGTAATTCTCAAATATTCACTATAAATCATTGAGCATTCTCTTGGTATTCTATTGGTATTCAATTTGTATCACATCCACTGCTCTTCTCACCCACCAGGGAACTTAAAAAAATCAGCCAAAGGGCTTATAAACAACAATCTTTTCCTTTGTGTAGCCTAACCAATTACAAACGCATGAAGCAACAAATCGGACAGCGAGTCAAAGCCCATTTCTCTGATGGGCAAGTTGTACACTGTGAAGGGTGGTTTTATCTATCAGTTACGAACACTGATGGCACATTCAGTCTGCCCCACTAAGTAAACAACCTAAAGGGAAGAAGTGGACTTTCCAGCATCACCTGACAAGCACCTTAAAATTATCCCTGACTGACAGCCACAGCCAGGCCTGGTGACAGAACTGAAGACAGGGTCTCCCCTGTTTCCTGTATCAATAGATATGGGAGAAAATGAGCCAGATGCCCTGTAGAAAGTGCACATTCGTTTTCCTGGGGACAGGTCTGCCACTGCATCCCATCAGCTGGAGTAAGCCCTAACATGGCAGTTATCCAGTGGGAAGATCTGGCAGAATATCTACACTGCTTCAGGGTGAGTGTTCATTGACCTATAAGTCATTAAGCATAGTCTGTCACATATACAAAGTACATTAAAAGTTTTATTCTGAAGTAAATGTTTTGACTTGAATCTTAAAGTCACGTGAGCGCTCTCACGAGGAGCTTGAGTTTACAGTGTCTGCTCTGAGTCACTGACACAGGCATACTGCGTTTACAGTCATCACAGATGTGTCCAGAAATGTCCTTCTGAATTGTACAAACAAATCACAAATACCTCCAAATACTGAAGAATGTGACTTGCAGAGTTAAAGACTTAAAAATAGCTTATGCAAAATAGCATGATAAACGTGTTCTGGTAATAAGAGCTTGTGACAGCCAAGGAATAGCTATTATTTTTTAAAATACAAAGATAGCATTCTCATTGAGTTCTAAAAGTTCACAATACCACAACACTTTTGGTGATTAAACTGAGCAATAAGTAGGATATTCAACTTAAGGAATGTTGTCTCCTGGCAACCACAAGAGTGAGAGCTGGAAATATACAAAGGATGCTTGAAAGTCTTCAATTCCTTAAGTTCAAGGATCAAAGCTCTAAAATGTAAAGGTTTATTATTTGTATAAAATTTCCCAAGTTAAAAAAGTTTTTCCTGCAAAAAAAGTCAAAAGTAATTTCAATAGTTTCAAGTCATTCTTCCATAGCATATATGTGCTAGCAAAATAATTTTCCTAAAAAATTTATAATCACTAAATATTCTTTGTTGTTAAAGTTCAGTAAAACTGTGAAAATTCAATACACACGTAATTAAAACTCTGAGCTGTCAGGGCTTCACTGTTGATTTAAATTCCACTTCTATTAGAGAACAATGGAGACCCGAGAGCTGCCAGGAGTGGGCTATTTGGAACTGCAGAGGAGCATTAAGGAGCCTTTGCTCTTGTACCCCAAGATCAAACTTCATAAAGACATGAGCCCAACATGAGGAGACACTGACCGACTCCAATAGCTGTTAAACAGAAATGAGGCTGAGCGAGGTTGTGGGATGTTTGAAATGTTGACAGATGCAATGATCTCAGGCGCTTTGGCCTACACATGTCCACCAAAGTCAACACATCAGTCACCATTCCATTTCCTCTTAAGAATGACAAGTGCTTAAAGAGACAGATTGCACAAAGATCGATGCATCAAAACAGACAAAGGTATGGCTGTGTATAATGAAAGGCCTGAGACCAGTTTTTAACCCAAAGGCATCTGCAGAATTTGCAACTACTATATTACTTTTTTCCTACAATAAAGAGCTTTACTTCTCATGGGGAAATGCAGCTGTATATCTGCATACTAAAAAGGCAAACTAGAATGTCATTTTCCCAATTAATTCAAACTCTATTCTAGTCCTTCAAACTGTGTGTTTGCACAGACACACCTCTATAATTTAATAAATCATCCCACTTTACTCCTCCAAAAGAACTGGTATTATTTCCCTTACCAAAAGTAATGGTATAAACTATTATTAAACAATAATATTGTGTTCATATTAAAATCTGCACAGATGTTCTGAAGGTTGTGGGTTGCTGCTGTTATTTCTAACTGTCCTTGTCTATAATGTGTTTCTAAAGAAATCTCAGAATGAGATTTTAATATATTTTGTGGACATTTTCTTATATTGTTTTCAGTAGTGTTAGATATATAAATACCTCTTATTGGTGCAAATTTTTCTTGAAAATATTTTTAAATCACACCTTTTCCAGGAAATGGACTTTCTGAACAAACTATTTTATGCCTAGAGATTTCAAGTTATACATACATTTAATCAACATTTTGTGTATAGGATTGAATCAAATGGATATCTTCAAAGCATGATATAAATACTAAATTGCTGATTTGGCTGTAGTCAGTTTCTTAGAAGGCACAAGGGTGATCCTGATAGGGTCTTCGGATCTATGGGAGGATTCTTTATATGCCTATCACAAGCCACACTTCCCTCCATCCTTCCCATTCCCTTCTGTCTTCTGTATGGGGATACGAGTGGTTATGTCTGCTGATTCTCCTTGCTTGCTTCCCCCGTGACAACAATGGCGCTCCATACCTGTGGTGGCACATGGCAGTAGCTTGACAAAGGCTCACACTAGTCTGGCTTATCAGTGCAGCTTGTTTATAATCCTGAAACAGTTTTATAAGATCTTGTTAATTGGGCATGAATTTTCTTAAAACTTCCTTCTAACTCTGATTCCATATAAGTATACATCACATAAAGCATTAAAATAGACATCTTGTTAAAGTTTCACTTTCTTCTTTATAGAATCTCATCTTATGAGAATGGATGGAGCAAGGAATGCCAATTGTTATTAACACTCCAAGTCTGTGTTATCTGCACCTACCTTGAGAACAGGAACTTTTCCTGCAGTCCTGCTCTGTGGTATGTAATAAAGTATCTCATTTGCTCCCTTTTATTTTCTATAGCACCGGAAGCTTCCTTTCTCAGACACAAAAGGAAATTCCCCCAAAAGAACCTTTGGAATTACACGACTTTTGGACCATTAAGTAACAAAGTACTGTGCATCAACTGGCTAAGTCTGAACCTACTTGTGGAATCCAGACTTCTGAAAGGATGTGTTTGGTTCTGCTCAAAGATTCAGAAGTGCTCCTGAAGTGGAGAAATGGAAACTCTACCTCTAGGCTGTGAAATCTGGGGAGTAGACAGGAATGAATTTGAATGGCCATGGGGAAAGGTTGTTTCAGAGAACCAGAAGTGGAAAATGTTGTCTGGAGTTTGTAATCAGCTCAAAGTCTTACAGAAATATTTTCAGCATGAAAGAAAATAAGAACAGTACCAAACTTGAATTTGTAGTCAAATGATACCTATAAAACAAATGTCAGTTTCATACCAATACATTATATGCATATGTAGTGACTGTACATGATTACTCATTGCTATGATGATGAGGAAAGTCTTCCAAAGTCAGTATCCAGAACCTCTAGGAAATAAAAACGGCCATGTTCTTCCTAAAAGAAATGCATCAACATGAATCTCCATGGGTATTTATGGCTGTTACTTCACTTAGCTGGCCTGAACCATGGGGAGATGGTACCCTCACCCAGATTGGCAAAATGAAATCCCTTCAAACTTGCTTCTTGAAAGTAACCATCACCCTATAGCCCCAAAAGGCAATGCCCAACTAGAGAGTCACCACCTCAACCAACCGTTTCCCTCCCATCCTCTTCTCACAAGTTTTCCCTGGTTGTTGTTAGAGGGAGAGCCTTCTTGTCTCAAGAAGTAGCATGGATTTTCTACTATTACTTGAGGTAAAAGATTGGGGAGAAGGTCAAATTGAAAACCTGGGGTCCCTATGAGAGGAAATGGCATCATCACTGACCAGTCTCAAGGTAGGGATCCTACTCTTAAAGCTAAACAGCACATTTTCAGACTAAATGGAAGGATCTGGATGAAAATCCGAAACCTTATTATCTCCTTAAAAGTAATATAAACAGGCAATCTACCAGCTATGGTCATTCTATGTCTGAGAATGCTTACCCATCTCCTGTCGAAGCTTGCTGCCCTAATTTACCATGCTTCTCCCTCAACTCCCCTTCTCTGGAAACTAAAGATGGCCACATCTTTCTAGCTCCTGTCACCACCAATGTACCTGAAATTAGAGCGAATGCTGACTCCAGATCCTCAAATTCTGTCAACTTACTAGTTATTTAAATATGACCAGCTTTATTTTACAATTTTTAAAATGATCCAAGCCGGGCGTTGGTGGCGCACGCCTTTAATCCCAGCACTCGGGAGGCAGAGGCAGGCGTATCTCTGTGAGTTCAAGGCCAGCCTGATCTACAAAGTGAGTTCCAGGACAGCCTCCAAGGCTACAGAGAAACCCTGTCTCGAAAAACCAAAAAAAAAAAAGAAAAAAAAGATCCAAAAGTGCATCTATATTATTACTTTTATTTTTACTGAAGTAATCCATTATATTGTAGGTGGTATCTTATAAAATTATAGAATGCTAAACAGTGATCCTCTGCTCCACTTCTCCTTACTCCTAGTCCCACCCCTTAAGAGCAATTAACTATATGTGTTACTCTGGGGTTTGTCTTCAAACTCCTAAATCACATGAGTAATATAACTTATTTGAAGTCATTCACTCCTTACACAGAAGAGTTTAGCTCTCTGATGCCATCACTACACACACTTCCCCTTCTTCCATCATCCTTAAGCAGCTATGACAATATGTTTTGAGGGTACCATCTTTGCATCCCTTAAATTTCTGATACTTTATCTACGGCTGTTCACATATATTTAAATTTAAGGCATAAAACCCTTGAACAGTACTGTGTGATGCATAAATATCATGTCTATACTAACTTTGACCTTTTATTACATCTGTTTTTAATTCCTCTGCCTCGCCTGGTAGATTTTTAAGAAGGAAAGGGCACAGGCAAATGTTCCCATTGCAACATAACATGCCATTAGCCCCTCAGGCATTCCAGACTAGATGCTTCCTGAGCAAGCTGGTCTTGGGAACACCAGATAGCTGCCTACTATCTATCTATATGGTTCAGTTCTTAGGCCACCTAAGGTTTCGGTCTATAAAGTCTTCCAAAAATCTTTTTTTCCGTGGACTTTGTCTTGGATTTTTTCTTATCACACACTGTTATAACCTTTATTGTTTTTTCTCTGTCTGTACCATTTAAATGTTTCTATTTAACTTTTAGTGACAGGTTTCCTTTACGCAAAACAAAGATCACTGTTTGGTTTTTGCATATCTTATTGTGTATCTTCTCTATCATTACATTTGAACTGTGTTTCTTGTACTCAGAATATACTAGATATTTTTTCAAAATTCTCATCTCATATTCCATTCTTTTATTTGGTGCCTTTTGACCATTTCTATTTAATATAACTATTGACATCATTGGATTCGAGTCTAATATCTTATCGATTGCTCTGCTTGTCTCTGCAGTGGGTGTTTCCATACTTACTTTGAGGCCTTTTAATATTTAAGTTTATTTTTGATTGAAAGAGGACATTCAGTTAGAAACTTGGACTAAAGAAAGGCTTAGAGCTTTGTTCTGTGTGTGGGGTCAGCTTGTGTATCACTTCAGAGCAGGAAGGGAGCCAGGCCTCACCAGACAATAGCAAAAGTAGAAAGGCCCGTGTGTAGAAAACGAGACTGGTAATGAAGTGTAGAGTGAGCATCAGTCACATCAAGTAGGACTTGGTTTAATGGTCAGGAATCCAGGTTTTCTCGGGTGGGATGGTTCATTGCAGGTTTGGAGCAGAGAAATAACTTCATCTGCTTTATGTTTTAAAGCGATCCATTTGCCTGCTATGTGAAGAATACATGTGCAAAATAAGTGTGTAACAGCATGGCCAGGGCACATTACTTCAGCAGGATAGGAGACAGAAAATTCTGTTCTGTGATCTGAGTTCAAATCTTACCTAGGACTTCCTGGTTGAGAAAAAAACAGAAATTAGAACTGACATACTTCAAAATTTGTTTCAGTGACAGAATGAACTAGACTTGCTAATGGTCTAAATGTGTGATAGGTGAAGAGACAAAAGTAATTCTCTCTTGACTCACCAAACATTAAAACTGCCGTGTCTGAAAAAACATGACATTTATAATGTAGTGGGACCTGCATTCAGATCCTACCTCAGTACTTACTCAAAGGTCTTATTTAACCTCTTTTGAATATTTATGTCCTTATCTCTAAACTTAAATTATAATTTTGTACCATGATCCAAGCTGGTATGCAGCAAGGAAATATTTTATTATATAAGGTTATGTGGTTTCAACAAATACATAAAATGATTATCACTTAACTACAAATGGATATTCCATCTTTGTCTTGTTTCTAAATTTTAATTTCAAAACTTACTGTCAAGTCATTATAAATGGTAAAAATGAGAATTGTGAACTATATTTATTCTATAAAGCAACAAATTGAAAACTGCCTGTTTCTTGCCAGTATGTTTCTATAAATTCTAGTCCTGAAGGGCTATTCTTAAAGTCTTAAGAGGCTGTTCTCAGTAACCATTCTACACAGCTATGCCCTGCCCTGTTTGGTTTATTTTGACAAATTTCAACAGGAGAAAGAAAACTGTGAGTGAGAAAGAACATTACAGAACAGAATAAAATATGTACAAACAATTTTGACAAACAGTTGAGTTTTCCAAATACTTCTTTTGGGAGACAATAGTCTTAATTAAAAAACACCACCTAGCAAACTAAGCAATAGTGGAGAGACTACCTTAAATGCCCCTCCTTGATAATGAGACTGATGACTACCTTTTATGCCATCCTAGCACCTTCATCCAGTGACTGATGGAAGCAGAGGCAGACACCCACAGCTAAACAATGACCTGAACTCCTGGAACCCAGTGACAGAGAGGAAGGAGTGATGAGCAAATGGGTCAAGACCGGTCTGGTGAAACCCACAGAAACAGCTGATCTGAACAAGGGGGAGCTCTCAGACCCCAATCTGATGGCTGGGAGGCCAGCATGGGACTGATCCAGACCCACTGAATGTGGGTGTCAGTGAGGAGGCCTAGGCAATCTGGGGGGCCTTGGGTCGTAGAACAGTATTTATCCCTGGCACACAAAGGAACTTTGGGTGCCCATCCCACAATGAGGGATGCTCTCTCAGCCTGGACACGTGGGGGAGGGCCTAGACCCTGCCCTGGATGAAATGACAGACACTGGAGATCCCCCATGGAGGGCCTCACCTTCCCTGGGGAACTGAATAGGAATTGGGGGAAAGTGGGAGAGACTGGTAGGGAGGAAGGGGAGGCAGGGGAGGTGGGCAGGGAGAGGGAGAGGGATCTGGGATTGACATGTGAAGCAAGTTTGTTTTTAACTCAAATAAAAAAATATTAAGACATTAGCCATTCAGCTGTAATTAAAATGAAGGAGAAAGTGCTTAGGTTTTATAAAAATTGTATTAGTGTTCCCAGACATTTCAATACCATTCTTGCTAACACTGTCACTCACTAACACTGCTAGTCTGTAGCACTAAAGACCAATTTTCTGAGGAAGTGCGAAATCAAGTAGTTATTTACCTACGTCACAGGTAGGCTCACCTCTAGTGCAAAACCATACTCCTTTAGTTCAGTGTAGATGAGCCCACGGTTAATGAAGGTATTTAATGCTATTCTTTCTCCAGCATCAAGAAGCAGCACAATTCCGTAATCTCTTAAAGCCTAAAAATAAAAAAGCCACTTAGAGCCACAGTGCAACTCTTTAGACCATTGCTTATGGCACAACCCTGAGACAAATATGCTTCTACCCAGAGCGGGATCTCAGGGTCAGTTGTGGAACATGACATGACTCTATGCTCAACCTGAAGGGTCTTTTTAGCTAAATGACTATGGCTAGTGCTGCTTTTAAATAAGCAAGCACTACGCCTGTCGTTCAGATGCTGCTGCCTGTTTGCTTCCCATATACCCACATATGCATTGCGTAGTTCAGAAGGAAGGGACTCAACACCCCACTCCCATACACACACACTCCAAAAAACACATTCACTTGAAAACAAAATGGAGATTTCTGTTTGCAATTTAAACTCTTTTTTAAAGTTCTGTTGCCTTCCTACTAAAGCTGCAGGAGGCAAGTGTTTAATCTTTTCACCATTGTCAACCTAGTAACAGGCATTTGGTAGGTTTTAATCAAATGAATAAACCACAAATATAACAGATGAATAAACCACAATGACAAGGGATCACAATATGACTGAAGAGGGAAACAGGGAAGTTCAAACTTTGTTAATGAGTTTACTCATTGTTTGTAAAGAAAGCTATCTGAGCTCAAAGAATAAATCCACCAAGGAAGGAATCACTTCCACTTAATTTTTCCATTGGCTGAAGAGGCAAAGCTTCACTGATGTCTCTTCTCTGCTAAGAACTAAGTAAGGGGTGAAGTCTCCTAAACTATTTTTGGTGGGTATGTTGTTCAAAACAGTCACGTGGTTGATCAAGCAAGGGTCAATTCTTGGATGAATAAATTATCAGCTAGCTGAAAATGGTGAATAAACAGAATTTAACTTTCTACTTGTTTGCCCTTTTCTCCTATTTCCTGCCACACGCATGTGTCTAAAGGTACTGTACAATTAGAGATACTAAGTGTATACTATGATATAAATATAAACATTTCTAGGCCCACAAAATATTTAGCAATACTTGAAGAACACCTAGACTGTTCATTACACGTTGTCTGACTCATTACTTCCATGGACTCACAGAACATAGAGTCTGTAGATGCCCTAGAGATCCATCAAGCAGCTAAACATGAATAAAGATTCTAAGTGAGAGTTCACGGATGCTCAAGGTGGTTGGTAGACGTGGGAACACTGACGGGGCTTTCTGATTGGTTTTTCTTTTGTTTTATTGGCCCTTGAGACACATAATGTCATGCCACTCAACTCCATCTTGTCAGAACTTGCTTTGGAGACCGCATTGGTCTTGAATTAATGATCCCTATGCCTCACATCTGTACATTCTGAAATTACAGGCGTTTCCCAGGTTGTCTAACCTGAAAGTATTAATTAAGAGAGCGAGAGCCATAGCATTCTCTGATTTTGTAGCTTCAGTTTCTGCTACTAGACTGTGAGTTTAAGAAAAGTTGCTTAACTTGAACTCTATTTCCTCAGGTACAAAACTAGAATATTAAGCTTTTAATACATTTTACAGTCAACTTACAAATATGACAGAAATGTGAGGTCAAAATTTGCATATTGAAGATACCACTGGAATCTGTTTTAGAACTTCTGGCAAGCTTGTCAGATTGCCAGAGAGATGTCTTGGTAGTTAAAGCACTGAGGGCTCTACCAGAGAACACTGGTTTGGTTCCCAGCACCCACAAATGACAATTCATAAGCATAATCTCAGGAGATCTAGCTCTTCTGTTCTCTGTGGGCACTGCATAAACATGGTACATAGACATACATTAGGCAAAACACTCATACAATTTACAGTAATGATATCAAAAATAAATAAAGAATAAAACTAGTCTAGAAATCCCTTACCACAGTTCCCAAGGCCAACACAGCAGAGCATTTGAAATAAAAAGGAAGCATGAATAGTACAACTTCTCCAATCTTCTGCTTCAGGCCCTATGGAGATTTTGACTTTTCTCTAGCCTTGATCCACTGCCAGGCTTAGAAGTGCCTTTATCCTCTTAATTCCTTCTATTTTCCTTCTATTATCTACTTGTGTGGCTACCCAAATCCTCGTTTGGGTACATGAGAACCTAGAAATCCCAATGGTGGCCACTATCCCTCAATTTCTGCCTAAAATAGAAATGCCTTGACTATATATTGATAAAGTGTTTAGCTTGGTTCTTGTCACACAATAAGCCATAAATAAGGGGTAATGGCTGCTTTTTTCATTATTATAGAACAGTAGAGTCAAAATCCACCATGCTGTTCTAAACATCTGCTGAATGTAGGAAGCTGAAGATCAGAAAACCATCCTGAGCCATGGCATGAGTAAAAGCCTCCTCCCTGTGGGCACTGAGGGAAGAAAACAGGCATGTAAGCTGTCTTCTTCCTGTCTAACTTCAAGATCCACTGGCTATAGGAGTCAATCTGACATCTAGTTGATTCAGAGATTCTAAAATAGATTCCAATGTCTACTATTGCCTGAAAAAATTCTTGTAACTTTTCAGAGTGGGTAAAAGACAGCAAATTTGATAAAAAGTGACCTGTCTTTAGAGATTTTACTTGGGTAAATTTCACTATACATATTCAGCTTTGTGTTTCAATAATACATATTTTGATTTTGCTATTGTTTAAGTATTTGTGCTTGAAAATGACCAACAGTGACTACTTTTGAGTTATTAAAATTTCAAACAACAAAAAATTCCACCATGCTTAGGTTTTAGGAAACTCTATCCAATAAGAATGCCTAAGCATATCAGCCTAGTGATGGAAGGAATGCTGGAAAGTGGGTGAAAGTAGGCAGAAGGGGAGGTGGTGACACTTTGAAATGACATACCAGCCAATCTAGAGCCAGAGGGTTTTGTAAAGCTACCTAAGGATTGTGAACCCACAAACAAACAAATGTGTGAATGTCAGCACTGGTTTCTAACTGCCTGTGTGACTTGGTTAAGTTCTGTGGCCTCTCCCTACTTTCGTATTCTTGTCTGTAAAATGAGCAGACAGAATGTTCTGAGGTCCAGGCACCTTGAAAATCATCAATATTTTACAACCTATCTTGGTCTCATTTATTCAGATTTGTTTGCATGTTCTTCATTAACCAAGAATTGGCTTGTCCACACAACTGAGATAACACTGGGAGTTCCTTCCTTGACCAGCCCATTGTGTTGCATGTATAATCTCAGAATTCTACAACAAATACCTCCATAAACTGATCTAGCTTGGGTTCAAGTTGTAAAACTTGTATTGCTAGTGATCACTTCAATATATCAGTTAAACATTTACTCAAATGATACTTGCATAATGTATCCTAATTTATATAGACATTTGAATATTTGTACAGGCATTAGAAAATGAATTGATAGCATAAGATAATTTAGCACTAGGAAACAAATCAATATTATTTTGAAATGGTTCTGTGTGGTTTCTCAACTTTCATACTTATATTTCAATAGGAATTATTTTTCCAGGATTATGGCAGAGATAAGAAGAAAATTCAGGTGCTTTTAATATGATTATGAATGCTTTAACATGTTGATTATGAAATATTGTTTATTGATTGCTTGTCTAAGCCAAGGGCCATTGAATACATGTTGCTTCTTGAATGTTTTAAATCTCTCATTTACTAAAATGGTTATTTACCATATCAAGTTCCTTTATCTTGGTGTAACACAATGCTCTGTTATAAAATGCTGTGTAACTGTTCTTGTCCATGCTGACAGCTGTAGTCAAATCTGTAATAGCTAGCTTGTAACTCTACAAGGAGAAAGGAAGAGTGAGAAGGGTAAATCATTATAGACAAGGTTTAATCACAAAATAAATATGTGATCCTATCAGCATTTGAAGCATTCCTATAAGATTCTAAGCAACATCTCTAACATTAATACAATGAAACTAATTTTTCACATAGTTTGCTAGGAAGATCTTGGTAGGGATTCTCACAGTTCTTTCATCTACAAACAAATTAAGGATGTCAGTGACTTAAATTTAAGCAATTATGGGCTAGAGCGATGGCTCAGAAGTTAAGAGCACTGGTTTCCTACTCCAAAGGACCAGGTTCAATTTCCAGTACCTATAGCTCATAACCTTCTGCAACCCCAGTTCCAGGAGATCCAGCACCCTCATCTGGTCTTGACAGGCACTGCACACATATGCCACACAAACATACATGCAAGCAAACACTCATAAAATAAATATAAAATAAAAATAAAATCTCAAAATAATTTAAGCAAATATTACACCCATGTTGCTATATGGCTTGGAGAAAATGATACTGACTGCAAGCAATCTACAGTCCTCTAGTGAACACTGAAGGGCTGACTTACTCCTACCATTCGTGCTGTTGTATCATATAGCCACGTTTTCTACTCACATTCAGTCTCTTGTCCCCTTCCATTCTCCTATGATACTTTATGTCATCGTTTCTAAACAGAGTAATTTTTGTGAAATTGATATATAATGCAAGGTCTCACCTTTGCTTTAAGACACTAAAGCAAAGTATTCCATATGAAATAGCAATGAAGATATGTCAAAAATATAATCAGGGAGAAAGAATCATTCCACACAGCATCAGATACCACAATATTTTGCCCAGGAATTTGTATTTAGGGAACTCAAGCAATGATTTTGTTCTCATTACATATAAATGTGATATTTAAAATGAATAATGAAATACATGCACCTTTCAAATGTCCAACAATCAAGTAATTAAATATAAATTATGGTGGTATATTATGCATCATATATAGTAAAAGATTAAGTCCAAAAAACAGGGATCACCACAATTATATAAATAGAACAATCTCAAGTCATGTGTCTGAGGAAATGTAGGAAACAAGTGGCCAGTTAACAAGCAGAGGAGTCTCAGCTCCAAGGTCTTAGTAAACTTGGCAGGAATGACTTACCCTGTTGTAGTATTTCAGAACTCCCCTGCAGATATAGGCACGCACACTCTCAGGATAAAGTCTGATGGCCTCATTACAATTCAGAATTGCTTTGGAGTATCTGCCCTTTAAACCATAATAGGCTACTCGGCTTAAATATGCCTTTTCAGAGAAGGAGAAAAACAGAGATAGATGGTTTTGTAAAATCGTCAGTTCTATCAGGATATATGGAGCTTCAAACAAATCTATGCCACCTAAAGACAATATTAAAATATAGTTTTTTCCATTTCTTTTCACTAAAAAATTAAACATACAGCTAATTGAAATAATTTTACAGGGTTCATACTTATGGCTACTACTTGGATTCAGTAATCATTAGTGTGTAGTCTACTATGTTTACTTTCTCCATTTTCCCCTAAACTGCTTAAAAACAAGTTGCGTACACTATAATTCTTAAACCCATTTCCTTTAGTATGAGTCTCCTGTGAAAAAAAGACATTACCCTACATAACCACACAGATGTTATTTATCTAGGATGGTTATTAATGATTCTGTAAAATGATCTAATATTTAGTCAACTCAAATTTAAGACACAACTAACATCAAGACCCAGCCAAATTTCATCTGCTAAATTTTTGTTGTCCCTTCCATGTATTAGAAGGAAAAATCCACTGATATAAAAGCAAGAAATTAATAAAATTTATAGCATTCAAATTAAAATTACTAACAAATAATGTATTTGAAATATTTACATATATCACAATCTTTAAAAATATTTATACAACTGTAAAATCTATTTTAAAAGTAATACTTTTGTTCCAAAGAGAAATAAAAAAATTTGGGTTGTTAAAATACAATTAATTGGCATCAGATATTATAACAATGCACATCTCTAAACTTGAGAGGCAAAGATAAAAGTGCCAAGAGTTCAAGGTTACTCTCTGCTACATACTGAGTTCAAGGCCATTCTGTGCTCCTTGGCAAGCTGTCTCAAAATAAAGGGGGGAATGGAAGAGTGGAAGAGGAAGAGGAGGAGGAGGAGGGAGAGCAAGAGAGAGAGCTACCTTTTATTCTTAATTATGTATAAAGTATTTAATAGTTTCACCAAAACTAACATATTCTCCAAATCACTGTTGTCATTTATTTAAATACCTGGTAATGTCTGGGATTGAGGGTAATTGCCCGATTAAAATCCAGAATTGAGTTGTCTTTGTTGAGTTTTACTTTACAAAGTCCCCGATGATAAAAGGCTTCTGCAAATTCAGGATTTGCTTTCACAGCTTTTGTAAAAGAGTCATAAGCCTGGAAGAACACGGTGAAGCACATACGACTCAGCGACAGAACGCATCAATTCAGAAGATTAATAAGGTATGGAACTGTTATTGAAAACCTTCACTAGAGGGTTCTTTGGGGAAGAGGGACTATGTAAAATGCATTCTCCCAAAGACCCTTGTGGAATAAACAAGTATAATCCTCAGAATTCAGTCAAACTTATAATTAAAGGTTCCATTACTTCCAGATAAACATCCACATAGTCCATGTTGTTAGATAACAGGACTTTGACGTTTAATTTCAATCATTACTCTTTGGATTTCATTCATTCAAAGAAACCGCTGACAGTGGCATTAATTTCTTCTTTATGGCCCAAGAACTACAGCAAAAACATAGTTGTTCAGTTTCAGGATAAAAGGGTGTCACAAATTTCCAATGAATCTAGTCATCCTAGCCAATTTTAATCTGATTTGAATTCTTCAGTTATCAATAAGGAAAGTCAAAGAATATTCTAACCATTATCCATTTAGTCTGCATCACATTAAACACTCAATTTAACTACTTATAATTTAATAAATCAAGTTGGCATGATGATATTCGTTTGCTACAATAATTTCCTACAGTTAGATTTATTATTTCGTGAGAAACATTACGTTTAAGATACTATTAGAAAATTAGTATTGAATACAATGATATTTAATTTAAAACAATTCATGGGAATTATGGGTGCAGACAGCCTGTTACGAGCCAAGTTTTAAAAGCAGTCTTGGTCAGTTGACTTGATGAATTATTGTAGGTAGCCTTCAGAAACAGAACTGATGCAAGCAACCAGCATGAAGTCACAAATAATCTCTGCTTCTTACCATTTGTAAGTTGCCTTCTTCCATGTAACAAAGGCCCAGGCTGTACAGACACTCTGCTGAAACATTAGTGGCACTCGGTCCTTTGTCAGAACTTGAAAACATGTCCAAAGCCTTCTTAAACATTCTCACAGATTCCTAGAGGAATAAGAACAAAAAGATGAGGGAATATTTTTACTGGTTATTTGTTCAACACCACCATCTTAGATGTACAGAGAACTCAGAGCCCACAGAAGCATGGCTCTCACAACATACAACTGCACACAGATCTGATAACATCACAAATGTCCTTATACAACTGGAGGACCCTGTCCCAGAGGATGAACCCAGCATGTTCCACCCAGGAGTCATCCTATATACCAGGTCTCAAGCAGGCTTGCATGCATGAATTTTTGTAGCTAGAAGTTCTAAATTCTAACATCAGACTTAAATTTGTGGTCCATTTACTAATGATTACCTACCCATTACCCTGAATGACATGCTGGAAGGTTAATAGGTAATAAAAGCATCAATGATACTTGACACAATTTCAATGACCCCCTTTTCAGTCTGTTTTACTCTTAGTGGGACTCAACTAGTTCTAGAAAACAAGTTTCACCAAAGGTTACCCACATAAATGTAATAAAAATAGTTGAAACCATTAATGATAAAGAAGTTTAAATTTCCAAATATCATTTACCAGTTAACAAATCATCATATGAATCCAAACACGGATATCAAGTTTAAACACATTTGTTGTCATTTTGCTTTCTAAACTGTAGTAAATTATTAAAGCAGCCAAGGGATTTAACTTGAATACACTGTCTTCATGCTCCTCTTTAGCATTTCCTCCAGGCTCATAAGCCACCTCAACATCCAACCTTCCATACTCAGCACATGCATGACCTTTCACTGGAAAACTGAGTTCCCTTCTCTGTATCATTCCTTTATACTATTCAGTGTACCAGTATTGCAACCATTTTCACCCTTTCCTCTCCTGTCATTGGGTGCTTCCTTATTGGCTACTTTCAGAGCTTGACCCTTGACCCCATCTCCCTGTGCCCTGTTTCCTTGCTGCTTTGGACCTCTAGCTCACCACTGTCTCCCTGAGCCCATTCCAGTCTTCCACACCACTTCAATGAAAACAAACACAACTTGGCTTTCTTCTTTCTTTGCCCATCTAGCCCTTCTGGGCTTCTTTACCAAGGCTTCTCAGGGGGATCTCAGAGTGGAGGTTTATGGGGAAGTACCTTGGGTGTTGTGGGTAAAAACCTGAAAGACTGTAACACTGTTGCTCCAAACCAAGATAATGACCATGAGAGAAAGAAAGAAAGAAAGAAAGAAAAAAAGAAAGAAAGGAAGGAAGGAAGGAAGGAAGGAAGGAAGGAAGGAAGGAAGGAAGGAAGGAAGGGGACTTGAGAGATATTGAGACGATGGAGCTAAAAGAACAGCACCTCTGATTGGGTGAGTTGTCTGAAAGTTCACAGGTCAAGAAATTCCATTGCTCATTTGGAAACTCTGAATCCTACAGAAGGGCAAACATAATACCAGTTGAGCTGCCTCCTGGACACTTGACTGGGAGAAGTAGCTTTCTAGCTCGCATTTTGTTCCAAGATTAAGAGCACTTACTTCTTGGTAACTGCTGCTTTCTCCACAGCCCTAAAGGACTCCTACAGTTCTCTATACCCAAAGCACAGGGCAACGCACAGACTCTTCCTTCCATCTTTATTTCTGAGTCTCTCTGTATCTCTCTATCTAGCTCGATTTCTATCTGTTTTTATATCTTTATCTCTGTCTCTCTATTTCTAACTATCTTTATCTCTATCTTTGTCTCTATATATTCATACAGCTGTTATCTCTATAGCTTTATCTCTATCATGTCTGTCTCTACCACTATCTCTATCTCTGTCTCTATCATATCTGTCTCTATCTCTATATCTAACACTGTCTCTGACTATCTCTATCTATCTACATAAGGGCTGAAAATATAAAACTGCTAGAGAAAAATATGCAGACATTACAAGATGCAGGCATAGATAAAGACTTTTTATTATATTTCTATACACTTAGGAAACAGTGAGATTGCCTGGCAATGCCTTTCATGGAGAGGTCAGCAGGTCAACAAAATGGGTACAATAACAGAATGTTGTACAAGAATGTCGCAGCAATCCACTCCCAGCAACACATCCTGAAACAGGACAGGCACAAGAGTATTTTCAGCAGCTCTATTTTAACAGAATTTTTAAAAAGGAAATCCCATATTTTGGTTCATAGAAAATCAATATAGGGCTGGAGGGATAGTTCAGCCGTTAAAGGCTAGGCTCACAACCAAAAATATAAGAAAATCAATATATAGCATAATAAACTCAGGTACACTTACTAGGATAAATGAGTAGTTCAAATATAAATTCTATCATTTCATTTTATAAAAGTATTTAAATCTCATCTGTAAGTGTACTGTGTGAATTCCGTTACTAAGTTTAATAAACATCGACCAGCAGATTTTTTACCTTGATTTTCTTGGCCTTCATTTGGGCTTTTGCCAAGAGTGCAAAAGTGTATATCTCTGGTCTACTGACTGTGACCCCTTCCAAGACTTGAATAGCCTTGTCATGGTTTTCACAAAATGAGTAAATAAGTGCTTGCTGTACTGGTGTCAGCTCAATGAGACCTGAAAGCAAAGGAAAGCTTATCAAGATCCCTGCCAGGTAACATTTTAAAGGGAGTTGCATAGTATCTTATTTATGCAACATAAAATGACAAATAAGCACCATGCCAAAACCCTCTATTACCATAAACCAAAAAGTTACTACAATTACTAACCAAAAAAAGTAAAGTTATAAGCATGGTATGTCATCTAGTGACTGCTCTCACAAAATTGTCCAAACTATGAATCACTAGACAAGTTGATTATGTAAAAGTTAAGACTGAAGTTTCAAAACCTTTGTCTTCCAAGTGAATTCTTCATGCTATCAATAACAATACATAGGTATTAAAATAGCAAAAAATGGAGAAATATTTCTTTGACATCTTTATTTTGAATTAGTTGTATTTACCTTTGTTCATTTCTGCTACTTGATAAATAGTGAACTTTGCAAGATCATAACACTTCATCATAAGAAGGTACTGTCCCCTAGAAGAAATGACAGCTTTTATTCTAAGCATAGAATAGGTAATTATCCTATGGGCTTTAAAAACTTTTATTGGACTTGTTCTTTGACAGTCTCGTGCATGTGTAATGTACGTTCTGATTACTATGACCCCACACTTCTCTCATCTTCCTCCTCCCCTAATTTACCTCCCTTCTTCCTAATGTCCCCGTCTCACTCAATCTTTCTCTGTTTTGCTGTTGTTGTTCTGAGACTCACTGAGTTCAACCAGCATCCTCCACATCACCATGGGTTTAAAACTCATTGAAACATGAGCATCTCAGTTGGGCACCCAACTGAAACAGATGATTGCTTGTCCCCCAGAATCCATCAGTAGCCAATTTAGTTCGGCAGGGCAAAACAGACCCTTTATATGCCTCCAGATCATGACCGACTGCTGACTGCCCAGTCTTGTATGGGCTCACTGCAGGGAGTCACAGCTACTGTGAGGCTGTGACTGAAATGGCTGTGCCATGTCCCAAAGATAGCATGACACAGCCCTTCTCCCTATCTTCCAGATCTCAAAATCTTTCCACGTAGCTCTTCCATGATAATCCCTGAGCATCAGAGGGGATGGCATAAATGTCCTGTTTAGTGTTAAGCACTCATTCATCAAACTAAGTACTCAAAAGAAAAAGTTAATAATGTTTCTTAATTTTTTAATTATAAAACTTTTACCAAATTATATAAGTATACATAAAATCATCTTAAAATTAGAGTTGTTTGTTTGGTTTTGACTTTTGGTATTTTGAGACAGGGACACTGTATGTAGTGCTGGTTGTCCTGGAACTTGCTATGTAGTCTAAGCTGGCCTCTAAACTCTGAGAGGCCCCATCTCTCTCTGCCTCTCTGCCTCTCTGCTTCTCTACTTCTCTGTCTCTGTCTCTGTCTCTCTCTCTGTCTCTGTCTCTCTCTCTGTCCCCCCTCTCTGTCTGTCTCTCTGCTTCTCTACTTCTCTGTCTCGGTCTCTCTCTCTCTGTCTCTGTCTCTCTCTGTCCCCCTCTCTGTCTGTCTCTCTCTGTCTCTCCCTATCTCTGCCTCTCTCTGTCTCTCTGCTTCTCTTTGCCCCCTCTCTCTCTTTTGCCCTTCTCTGCTCTTTCAGCCTCTCTCTCTTCCTCTGCCTCTCTCTATCTCTCTCTCTCTGCCTCTCTGTGTTTGCCTCCAAGTGCTGGGATTAAAGGCATGTACCACCATGCCTGAAAAAATTAATCAGTTTTCAAAAGTCCAAAAAGACAAATTAACATGGAATTATGATGAAAGAAACAATTTAGGAAATGTGACAATAAAATAAAGGTCACAGAACAGAAAGGGAAGAAGTATTTATAAGTATTTATATAATTTCTGAACATAAAATACATCTTTATCATAAAATATGTCCCATTGCATTTAATCTAGAGACATTATATTTTTGGTAATAATACCTTATTACAAGTCTCTATAGAAAATTCTACTAAATCTGGAAAACAATTGTGAGTGTCACTTTTTTCACTGAATTTTCAGAGGGGTCTATTTAGTACTGTGGATACAAACAGAACCAAAGTTGAAAAGGTATTACTTTACTCTGACAGGACATGTGCCATCTACATAGCAAGTCATCTAGAAAGGTCATCTAGAACCTCATTCTCAGAAACTGTACTTTAGTGTAAGAGTAAAGCAAAGGGAATGATATGGTTATCTTAACATTTAATTAAAAACAAGAAATAAGCGTTGAGAGGTAGACATTGTTTGGAGGTTAGATGTAAGATAAGGAGAGTGGAAGAATAAATAGTGGGAGACTAAAGGTTGCTAAGATGTCAAGTTATCCCAAGAATAATTCAATTTCTGTGTTCATACCTTATTATATATAACTGGATTCCATCTGGCTGGAGGTGAATAGCACGAGATAATTCATATACTGCCCTTTTGAATTTGTGCAGCTGTTGAACAATAAACAGAAATGTGTATTCTAGTTCAAGCAATCATCTTCTTTTTGATATTCAGCCCCTCCCACAATTTCTTGCAGAGTTTTGTAGAAACTTATCCAAATATACTTGATTTTCCTTTCTGTTTATTTTAATTGTTTCTTTTATTTTTCAAGACTATAATCATTTCCCCTTTCCTTTCTACCCTCCAAACTCTCACATATATCAAATCCATGGCCTCTTTTTTCATTGGTTGTTGTTACAAATGTGTGTGTATAAATATTAAAAGTATACAGCTTTCTTAACTCACCAAAGCAAATAAAATACACAAAATCAAAAAAGATGCATTATTGTTTTTATTATTTATCATTAACTTTAAAGAATGATTACAAATATCCATTCACATATCATTTTACACGCATTTATGTGATATATCATAGTATGCATATGTTACAGGAATCCTGTTATTGTCATGGTCCATTGTCCAATTAAATACAACATTTGTCTTACGAGCAGAGTTCACATTCAGCTGGCCAGACTGGAAAAATGAGTCATTGGAGAACCAAGGAAGAGAGTGGCCCCAGGAATTGGTGGGACCAGAAGGGGTGCCCCACTTTTCAGAGACAGAAGGCGGCGGGTGCATCCCAGTCATGACAACTGCCTTGTGAGTTCTAATTGTATATTTGTCCTTGAGTTTTATAATGAAAAAATGACAAAAGTAATCCCTTCAAGTGTATGCTTCTCTTTGACATAACTTTTCAAGTTTTCTCCCTCAACCTTCTAACACGCATTTCACCAAATTTCACATAGTTAATAAACTAGCATACAAAAGGTAACATAAAAGTAAAAGTAAATGCCACTTTAAAAATAAGGGGGAGAAACAGACTTGCAACAAAATGAATCAGTGAATGTGAATAGACAAAACAAAATACAAGAACAGTGTAGGAAGAGGTCCATTTGAGACTCATATGGAAAGTCAACACTAACCCTATCCTTATTAATGGTCACAGAACCATAATGTAAATTTCCCCACATTCAAAGACAAAAATCAACCACCACTGAAAACATTGCCAATGGAGCACCACACAAACCCAGAAAAATTAAACCAAACGACGGAGAACTGCCATAAATAGGTGTTAGGATCCTGCCAAAAGAATACCAAAAACAATTTATACACAGAATTAAAGGGAACTGAAATAGCACAAACTATTTGAGGAAAATAATGGGTGGATAAGAGGAAATCCAAAGAGACAGAATTTGTTTAAACGAATTCGAGAATTTCTGCAGAACTTCTTAAGCTGCCCGCGTTCCAGCTGCACAAATTAGTGAACCAACAGCATGTTCTCAGTGACGTACCTGCTTGTACCGACTATCCAGCTGGGTATTATTTACTGTCTTGGCGCTGTGATCATACTTAAGTAACCCAGTCACAAAAAGAGAAACATGGTATGTACTCACTCATATGTGGATTTTAGACATGAATCAGGGGAGTGCCAGCCTTACAATCCCACTGTCAGAGAGTCTGGGTATAAGAGCCTTCATCCAGCAGCTGATGGAAACAGAGGCAGACACACACAGCTAAACACTGAACTGAACTCCTGGAACCCAGTGACATAGACAGAGAACTGATGAGCAAAGGGGTAAAGAATGGGTTGGTGAAACCAACAGAAACAGCTGACCTGAACAAGGAGGAGCTCATGGATCCCTGGCTGATGCCCGGGAATCCAGCATGGGACTGATCCACACCCGCTGAATGTGGGTGTCAGTGAGGAGGCCTAAGCAATCGATGCGGCCTTGGGTAGTAGATCAGTATTTATCCCTGGCATACAAATGGACTTTGGGTGCCCATCCCACAACGAGGGATGCTCTCTCAGCCTGGACTCTTGGGGGAGGGCCTAAGCCATGCCCTGGATGAAATGACAGACTCTGGAGATCCCCCAGGAAGGGTTAGGAGAGGAGGGAGAGCGGACTGGGATTGACATGTGAAGCAACCTGTTTCTAATTTAAATTTTAAAAAATAAAAAAGAAGAGTAAAGTAATATTAAAAAAATAATTCACATAAAGGTGAAAAATACACAGAAAGTCTAAAAAAAAGAAAGAAAGAAAGAAAAGAAAAGAAAACATAACAGTCACTCCTATATAGTGGAGAACGCCCAGCAGCAGGCTGCCCCGTAGGGAGCTTAAGGCTGGGATACCTCTCAACTCATCAGGCCAGGCAGCCGAGGCCTGACAGGAAGTCAGGGTGGGATATAAAACACAAAGAACCATGTAGTGACACACTTCCTCCAGGGAGGTTTTACCTCCGTTAAGATTCTTCGATCTCCTAAAACAGCACCACCAATGGGAAACCAAGTGTCTAAACATAAAGCTTATGGGAGACGTTTTACATTTAAACCGTAACATTCCATTCCCGGTTCCACACACCTGGTCCCGTGTCATAACCCAAAAGGTATTCAGTCTGGCTCCAGAACTCCTAACTGTCTTACATTTCCAATAATATTCAAAAGTCAAAAGTTCAAAATCTCCTCTGACACGCCTTGGGGAGCAAGCCAGGGAACAGCATTCTGCATAGCCTTGGCTTCAGTTCTTGCCTCCAGGACCCTGCCCTGGCTCTTGCTCTGACTTCCCTTGATGATGGACTGTGGTGTGAAACTGTAAGCAAAATAAATCCTTTCCTCTCTCAAAGGAAAAAAAATCTCTTCTGAAACCCAAGAAAATCTGTTAATTGGAAATGCTGTGGTCATGTGTCTTTTCACAGCAATAGAAACCCTAAGACACCATTCTATATACAGAACCAATTATATGAACCTACACACTTACCAGTATATACAACATACATACATAGAGCCACAGATTCTAAAAGATTAACGGTAGCTTTCCCCAGAAAACAAAACTACAGGCAACTTTGAAGCTACTGACTTTCAGAAACTTCCCATCATTTATTCTTATTTGTATAAAATACATTAACTACAATAGCTGTATGCTGTTTTGCAATCAAAGTATAAAACATTTGCTAGAGATATTATAAAAATGAAAATGAACACCTTATAAGAAGAGGCTGTGAAAGTAACCAATAACAGTTAAATGTATTTGCTTAATGGCTATTGCTTACAAATACATAAGCCTCTATGGTTAGCTGGGGGAAAAAAGATTACATTCATATATTATAAATTACACTGAATAAATATCCAAACAATTAAAATATTTTTTAAATTCAAGTCTTAAGTACCTTATAATAGGTTTCTGCTCTACAAATATAGCTTTGAATATATAAAGGGTCAACTCTAATTGCCTCAGAAAATCTCCAAAAGGCTTCAGTGTAATTATCCAGGTGTAGTAGATATATGAGGCCAATATTTATGTAAGCCGAAATAGCAGTTCTAAAAAAAACAAATAATAAATTTTTAGACACTTAAATCTTATTCCATTGTTCCTCAATTATTAAAAAGCTAATGAAATATATGAGTCAATTGCAGTCAGATATCCTTAATATTTTAGCTTTTCAATATCAAATAAATGCTGTCTTCTCTCTTCTACTCAAGTGATTGCTAGTGTGGGGATGACCTTATACTTATTCTGTTAGGTGCTTCCGCAAGACAAGGAAAATACATATTAGAGAATGCATACCGAGTCCACGCTCATGGAAGCCCTGACTGCCAGACAGCAAGGATCCTTCTACCCACCTGCTCATTGTATATCCCAAACGTCGCTCTGTCTCCCTAACCCCAAAGAAAACCACTGCGGTCCTCGGAGGCCTACGCTGTGACTCCCCAAGTTCAAAGATTTTACTGCATAGCTGTCTGGTGACAGCACAGAAGAGCATGACGTTTTTTTAACTCTTTCTAAAAACTTTCATGTTTTTCTTTCACTTCTGAGGTTATAATATAATCACCCCATTTCTCACTTCCCTTTCCTCCCTCCAAACCATTCCACATACTCCTCCTTGCTCTCTTTCAAAATCATGGCCTCTTTTTTCATCAATTGTTATTATTTACAAACATGTATATTATCTGCATATGTGAATACATATCATATACATTCCTAAAAATAACTTTCTCAGTCTATATCATGTTTTGTGTATGTATATTTTCAAGGCTGATCATTTGGTATTGGATAATTAGCTGGGTGTTTTCTACCATTCTCAGCGTTCTTTAGCTGTCTGTAACAACTTCCATTTTAGTGAGTGATTCATTGGAGAGAAAGAGAATTATTCAATCAAAATATATTTTAACTGGTTTTTTGGCTTGTCTAACTTTCCATTTGTGCCTCTTCCTTATCTTGTTGGCTAAATGGTATTGGATTTTCTTTTGCTTTACTAAACAAAACGAAATCAAGAGTTCCAAACACAAGGTTTTACTTCCATTGAGTTGGATACTGTGCATAACAATGAAAGAAACAACAAATATTTTGTCATTATTTTAAAACTTGATGACAGTTGTCCAGTGACTTAACTTCAAAGAAGCTGCAGCCTAGGTGTCTTCAAGCCCATTCTAGTAACTTTTTAACATAATATTCATGTATTTAAGTCTTCTCAAATTTTTCAACCTCTTAATTTTGCAAAGCAAAGGGAAATGAGAAAGTTTTATTTGATCAGTAAGCTTATTTTAGTATTATTCTAATTCTAGCGTGACTTTATAAATATAGTCTCATTTTCTACAACATCATCAATAGTGAGAGGGAAGATTCTTTTTATTTTTTCCCATTTTTATAATAGTATAATAAGTATGAAAAGAAACACTTACCTTTCAAGAGAAATAACAGTTTCAAAATCATAAATTGCCAGCATCCAAAGTTTTAGATCTGCATAGAGTATGCCCCGATGTAGAAAGCAATTAAGATTATCATAGCCATCATTTATGAGAACTGAAGATACAAAGTATATACTTGGATTTGTAAACAATCATATGAGTTATGTTTCAGACCACACCCTTCCCATTTTTTCCCTATTTAACATTCCAAAATCAATGTATCTATGATGAGTGTGCCCATTTGGTGGGTGAAAATATTACACATTTTAAAAAATTGCTAACTGCTGGGTGATGGTGGCACACCTTTAGTCCCAGCACTCGGGAGGCAGAGGCAGGTGGATCTCCATGAGTTCAGGGCCAGTCTGGTCTATAGAGTTAGTTCCAGGACAACCAGGGATACGCAAAGAAACCATGTCTCACAGAACCCCCCTCCAAAAAAATGCTAGCTAGTAATACTGTGGCTAATATGGCTCACAAATTCATTAGTGCTGGAGGTAGACTCAAACTACTCAACTCACTTTAAAAATGAAGAGATTCCAGGCTGGACTGACAGCCTCCAAAACAATACAGAGAAACCCTGTCTCGTAAACCCCCCCCCAAAAAATGAAGATATTAAGATCCAAAGGGGCTCAGCACACTGACAGGGACTAAGATATAAGTCAATAGCAAAGGTTGGTCTAGAATGCAACAGCTGAAGGAAGGGAGCCCTTGCTCACTGTAGCTCATTATTACCACAAAGACATTAGGGACCAAAGAATAGGTGTGGGTGCACTGGTTCAGAATAAGGCATATGGCAGATGCCAGGTCTATTCATCTACAGTGATAGGCAGCTTCTAAGAGGCTATTTAGGGCAAGAACATGATGGTAAACAAGTTGACTATAATATCCTAATTGAAGTGGGCAACTTGGCCTATGACAAAAACAACCTCCACTGCAGATGAGTGGTCCTCAGGAGTACCCAGCTTAGAGGTCACCTGACAAGTTCCTTTACTTTCAAAAACATGATAGTGAAACAGGGACTTTTGTAAGATTCAATGCATATCTTTTAAGTTTCTCAAGTCCATTCTGGATTAAGAGGTAACATTACACACACACACACACACACACACACACACACACACACACACACACACACACACACACATTCTCCATACTAGACTTAGGAAGTGGTAGCCATTGTTAGCGATGGCCATGATATTGAAACAAATAATGAATAAGACACTCCCACTGCTCAGTTCACAGTATGACTAGCCAGCTAGGAAAGGCTCTGCTGTGCCACTGGAAAAAAAAGAAAAGCGATTCTTATAGAAAAAAAAGTATTCAAGAGATTTACTACTCTAGACTTTGTTTTTACCAGTAAAATTTGGATGGTGATAATAAATTCTTCACACTATTATTTTAGTATTCATCAAAGTATCCCATATATAGTACCCACAACAGTGCTCAGATAGTATTGAAGTGGCCTATAAATGTCAAACATTATCAGTATAGAGTCGTATTTTAATGGTGGAATTATTTAAATCCTTGGGGTAATGTATAGGAAAGGGTTAGCCTAAAATCAATCTGAATAATTCAATAGTAGGTCTTTGAATTGTTATGACAGCTTCCAGGATGGGAGGCTGATGGCAGCAAACAAGGGTAATTATTTTAGAAAAGAATGGAGGAAAGGATTCTCTGGATGGAACAGGTCAGTGGAACCAGATTAGCCTGTAGGACTCTTCAAATCTGAAATGCTGGGTGACAGAGCCCCATTCATAGGTAGGACACATTTGCTGTGGTGCTGCACTAAGAAACCAGGAGTGAACTGAGAAAAGCAAATGAGAGAAAGCAAAGGCCAGAGCAACAAAAAGAGAAGCAAAGATAGAGTTGACTATGAGCAGAAATTAGATGAGAAAATAAACAGAGAAGTGAGCAGCAATCTTCAGCTCTCTTTCCCCAAGGACCTTGGAAATAGACATGAAACATGAGGTTCCTCTCAGCATATATGAGGCATTTAGGAGAAAGGGATGATATCTTAGGAAAGTGCTTGCCTTGTAGCACAACAACATAAGTTCTATCCCCAGAGACCATGGGGGGAGGGGTAAACTTGGCATGGCAATGTCTATGTCAGGGACACTGAGGAGAGTAGAACGGACCCCTAGATTTGCTGGCCACAGAATCTAACCCATTTAGTGAGGTCAGTGAAGGACCGTGTCACAAAATATAACAAAATTAAATTCAAAAGAATGGGAGAGAAGAAAATAGTAAACAATTTTAAAAGTAGCCAACTCCTGAAGTTGCCCTCTGGCCTCTATGCATATATGCACTCATGTACACACGTGAACAACACACATGCACAGAACATTTTTAAGTATGTAAGTATCCACAGTACTAGACATTCATCTACACATTGTGTGAGCAACAGGCATTAGTATTCCCCTCCAGGACACTGAGCTGATCCTCACAGCAGACGCTCACACAGCTGGGTACCTGATGTACTGTAGTCTTGCAGTGCTCTGTGGGGACTAGCCTTCCTGAATAAGCAGGCTCGGTAGTACAGAGCCAACCAATTGTTAGGATCTAAGTGGATGGCAATAGAAAAGTCCTGGATTGCTTGTTTATATAAGCTCCTTTTAAAATATGCTCTCCCTCGGTCTGTCCTAGAAAAAAGAAAAAACATTTTAATACGTACTGCAAAAGAGATATTTTCTCTTTTTGTTAAACCTGTCACCAAATTTCTGATTCTTTCTCTTTGCTTTTCAAGGGAGTTATATCATGATGTTGCTGTGAAAACAACATAAATTTTTATAAGGGACGCTTAGTTACATAAGCATATGCTTACTAGTTGTGTTTCTAATATAGCTGAATGGTTATTAACTTAGTCTTATTTCTTTTGCAGGGGAGATAGCTCTTTGAAATCCTGTCAAAAACTCATTTTTTATTATTGATCTATTCTGGGTTTTCTTTTTTGTGAAAGAAGCAATATTGGCACAAAAGAGCTGAGGTGAAGAAAAATATGAAGGTTAGGTCAAGACAGGCCTGTCTCATCACAAAGACACATCTGTTATTTTAAAGGGGTTGTCTTTATCCCATTAGCAAATGCGGGCCACTGAGAAAAGCTTTCAAGACCAGTGATCATTATTTTTGTGGTAGTCAAAGCTCATGACTCCAGAGCTAGGAATGGGGTAGTATAATACCAGAGGCATGAGCTCAGAAGTGACTGAAACACTGATTCAGTAGGAATGAAAATCGCATCAGTGGTCATCTGCTTGGAGAATCACTGTGGACTGGTAGCATGCTATGAGAGCACTTCAAGAAGTTGATGCTGTAAAAACTTTCAGAATCAGCTGAGTAGTACACGCCTTTAAATCCCAACACTTGAGAGGTAGAGCCAGGAGAATTTCTGGTCTACAAGGCCAGGGCTTCATAGAGAGACTGTCTCAAAGAATAAATACAAAATTTTGATTTGTTAGGACATGAATGAGACATTTCTTAAAAATGAGGTATCCTTTTTTCAGGTGTCTCAAAGTGCCTGTTGCTTTCAAAAGACCTCTACTGGACAGAAGTCAAGTAACATTGGAGGTGAGTTCTATCTGACTCTTAAAGAACAAAAACATATTAAATATAAATTGCTTGGTTTCAGATATTCTGTTACCCCAGTACTAAAAGTATACATTGTATCACAGGGCATGCTTCTAAGAGAAGACAGGCGACTTACTTCATTTGGGTAAAGTAGAAAATTCCTGAAATAAAATTCAGATTATAAAATAGAAAGAAATAAAGGAAAACAATTATGCCAAAAACCAGTTCTGGAAAAAGTGGATAGCTAAATCAAGAATGAACTTAGATCCATATCTTTTATGTTGCATGATCATCAGTTCCAAATGGATTGAAGATGTTCACATAAGGCCTGAAAATACAAAACTGCTAGAGAAAAATATGAAGATATTAAAGATGCAGGCATAGATAAAGACTTTTTATTATATTTCTCTACACTTAGGAAATAAGGGCGGCAACCCACAAATAGGATCTAACGAAATCTTAAAATTCTGTATGGCAAAGGAAATAGTTAATTGATTAAAGAGGCAACCTACCAAATAGGAGTAACTCTTTTCTGGCTATGCAACTAATTCAGTATTAATATACAGAATATATAAAGAACTTAAAAGAAAACAACATAATCAGAAAGTAGACAAAAAACTAAATTCTTAAGGAAAGAAATTATTAATATTTCTTTTATTTCATTATTATTTCTCTTATTTTTGAAATTACAATATAATTATATCGTTCCCCATTCCAATTCCCTCATACTCCCTTCCTTGCTCTCTTTAAAAGTCACAGCTTTCTTTCATTGTTGTGTGTGTGTGTGTGTACATATTGTGTATATATATATACATACATACATACATATATATATATATACATATTCCTAAAATACTTAGAGGGTGCATCTCAGTCCTGCTCAGAGTGACTATTATCAGGAATACAAATTACAACACTTTCTGGTTAGGATACTGGGTAAGAAGAACTCTACTCATTGTTGGTGGGAATGTAAACTGATGATTACAAACTGTTCATTTGCAAATATTCTGTTACCCTAGTAAGTATGACAATAGCCTAAATAAAATTAACAACTTGCTAGAAATACACAAACTACCAAAATTGGCAAAGAAGGAATAGATGGCCCATATAGACCACTGACAAGTGAAGAGACTGAATTAGTAATTTTAAAAACATAGCTGAGGCTCCACAGATAAATGTAACTAAATATTAAAACATCAACCTATCCTTTCTTTACTCACTCAACAAGACTTACTCAGTTACTTACCAATGTTTTCCTACTATCAAAGCCACAAAAGATAACACAAGAAACCCACACACCAGTTTCTTACACATATTAACATATACAGAAATCATCAACAAAATATTAGAAAACTGAACATAACAGCATATTTAAAAATTGTACACAATAACCAAGTGGGGTTTCCTAATAATACATGGGTCATTAATCTTTAAATAAATAAATAAATAAATAAATAAATCAGTATACTACATCAGCTCAAAGATAGATAGATAGACAGACAGATAGATAGATAATAGACAAATAGATAAAAAGCAAATGATGAAAGCATTATTCTGCAAATAGATCATTGGTTCCCAACTGGAAAAATTTGCCCCTGTATCATAATACACATCAACACAAGTCTAAAATTTTTTAAAGTAACCTTTAAAATAATTATGAGAGGCTGGAGAAATGACTCAGTAGTTAAGAGTATTGGCTGCTCTTCTAGAGGACCCAAGTTTGATTCCCAGCACCCACATGGTAACTCACAGCCATCTGGAACCCCAGTTTCAGGAGATCTGATGCCCTCTTCTGGGCTCTAAGGACACCAGGCCTGCATGTGGTGCACAGACATACATTCTCAGAGACATAAAATACACATAAGACAATGAAATTCAATTTTACAAATAATTACATTAATCTGTGGGTAAATTATTAATCTGATCTCAAAAGAGAAATTTGTTTTCTAAAATTAAAGAAGCTGAAGAAAGTCTGATAAATTTGACTACAAAAATTATTCTTTACATTAAAAGAATTAGATCTTAGATTACATTAGATTTAAAACTCGTTCTCTTCATTTTGTGAGATGGTTCACCACATAATGGCATTTTCCATGAAGCCTGACAACCTGAAATTCATCCCCAAGACCCATGTATCAGAAGGACAGACATACTGTACAATTTGTTCTCTGACCTCTGCACATTTTCTCTGTCTCTCTCTATCTCTGTCTCTGTCTCTCTCTCACATACACACACACACTTTCTGTCTCTTAATTGTAATTCTAAAATTTTAAATCTATTCCCCTCTCACTCAGTAACACTTTTTACATCTTATTAACAGCCATTTCTCACAGATGTGTGGTGACCTGTCAATGTGGTTTTAGTTGGAAATTTTCTAATTAGCAAAAAGGTTGAAGTTGTTCAGTTTTGTTCATTACCCTGTGAGGAATATGTGCTTGGGTCCTGGGCTCATTTTTCAAGCCAAATTATGTTCTTGATACTCAATCATTTGTGATGCTTGTGTGTTTTGGATATTAGTCCTTTATGAGATGCATGGATTGGAAATATTTCCACCCACTCTGTGATACATAAATACATACAGTGACAAATGTACAATTCAGCCTTCACAAAGAAAGAAATTCTGTCAGACTTAACATCAGGAATCAACCTGGAGACATTATGCTAAGTGAAAGAAATCAAGCAGGAAAAGACAAATATCACATGACTTGACTTTGTACAACCTAAACATGGCAAACTGGTAGAAGCAAAGAATAGAGCCTTGGCTGCCACAGGCTGGTGTACAAAGAAAGATGCTGATCAAAGGGTACAAGGAATTAGTAAGGAGAAATAAGATCCATGTATCTTCTGTACAGCATGGTGATTATAGTTAACAGTTATGGGCTGTATAGTTCAAAATCATTGAAAGAATTGACATCTCCATGAAGAAAAATGGATGTAATGTGATAGGCATGTTAGTTTGATTTAATTATTACAAATGAATGCACACCTCATCTCATTTTATGCCCATGTTTACAAGTATTATTGAAAATTAAAATGAAATTACATTTAAAAATTAATACTCAAAGTTAAATAAGGCCTAACTATATTTCAAACAAAGTGTACATACAAATTGAAAATATCTAAATAATGATATTTAAAAATATCTAAATAAAGAATAATATGAAAAAACACCGAAAAGGTCAATAAAAGTTCCGGGGTTTATTGCTTCCCTATTCATAGTATCCAGAAATTAGAAACAACCTAGATGTCCCTCAACATATGAATAGATAAAGAAAATATGGTACAATTGAATATTACTCCACTGTTAAGCTAATGGCATCATGAAATTTGCAGATAAATGGATAGAAGTAGAAAAAATTCATCCTGGGTGAGGAAATCAGACCCAGAAAAACAAATATGATATGTTTCCATCTTATACATGAATATTAACTGTTGTGTCAATGATAAGCAAGCTACGATCAGTAGAACTACAGGGGTAAGGTATAGAGTAAGAGACTGGGAAGGACAAACAGATCTTCCTAGGAAAGGGAAGTAGAATGCATAGTTATAGGTGGGAGGATCAAGTAGGGAGGAGAGTGGGATGGGGGATGAGGGAAGGAATATTGGAAGAGGAAGCTAAAATTAAGGGCCACTTAAGAGGTGGTATGGAACCTAATACAGTAGAAGTTTATATGGGTGTGTGGGGGGGTGGTATTTCTTGTGCCTTTTCTTGAACTTGTTTCCTCCTGTTTGTTTATTTTGTCTTATTCCTATGTGTTAGGTTTTGTTTTATCTTATTTTATTATTATCCGTTACAAGCCTGTTTGTTTTCTAGTAAGAGACAGAAAGGGAGTGGATCTGGATAAGAGGGGAAGAGGGAATGAACTGGGAGGAGAAAAGGGAGGGGAAAATTTAATCAGAATATATTATATGAGAAAAACATCTATTATCATTAAAAAAGAAATAATAAACTAAAATAAATAAAAACAAAAAAGAAATAGGGGAGCTTCATATACGAATTACAATAAGGTTACAGAAAAATCTTTGAACAGATATCTGTACTCAGTTGATACAAAGGCAAGGAATGAGAAGGAAATATAAAGAAGAAAATTATGAATGGTAAACAATGCTTTATACAGTTACAAAGTAGTTGAAACTTGGAAATGAAAAGAAATAACTTGACACTGAAAATTAGCTCATTGTTTTAAAATGCCTGTCAGATTACGCCAAGCAATTTTTCCTGCAAACATATTTAAATAATAAGTTATTTTGAAATTTATATCTAAAATAATTCATACCTTGCCTGCGAATTTTGTGGTTCAAGTTTTAACAGAGCCGTATAATCATGTATGGCTGCAATCCAGTTTTCATTTTCGAAGTAATACATCGCGCGTTTCATTAATGCATCTGTTCTCTTGGGATCATAGAGGATGCACTAGAGTGGAGTGAGGATGCAAACATATTACATAACAAGGGAAAGCTAAGATGAGTGTATATTCAACTTCTAATTACTAAGAGAAACCCACTTTAAGATGCTAAAACTTTTTTTTTGTTTGTTTCAGCCACAGTTTATTCTTGACTTTTTAGTTGCTAGTCCCAGAATTACAGTCACGTGCACGTTTGTGCCTTCCACTATGGGCTCATCTCCCTTATATGGGAAGAGTAACTTTTCTTTTTTTTTTAACATTTTTTTATTTTAAATAGCTTGTTTTACATGTCAATCCCAGTTCCCTCTCCCTCCCCTCCTCCCGCACCCCCCACCATCCCCCCATCCTCCCACCTTATTGCCAATTCCTTCCATATAGGGGATATCTAGAGTCTATTATTTCATTCAGGGTAAGGTCCAGGCACTTCCCTAAGAGTCCAGGCAGAGAGAGCATCTCTCTTTGTGCTATGAACACACGATGTCTGTTAGTATTCGAGGGATAAACACTGATCCACTGCTCAGGACCCCATAGGTAGCCCAGGCCTCCTCATTGACTCGCACATTCAGGGGGTCTGGATCGGTCCCATGTTGGCCTCCCAGCTGTCGGTCTGGGGTCCAAGAGCTCTCCCCTGTTCAGATCAGCTGTCTCTGCTGGTTTTGCCAGCCCATTCTTTGCCAATTTGCTCATTGCTCCTCTCTCTCTCTGTCACTGGGTTCCTTGGGTTCAGTTCAGTGTTTAACTGTGGGTGTTTGCCTCTGCTTCCATCAGTCACTGGATGAAGGCTCCAGGATGGTTATAGACATCAAGTTCACTATCAGGAATAGGCATTTGAGGTGGTCTCTACACTATTGCTTAGCTTGCTAATTGGTGTCATCCATTTAGATCACTAGAGGTCACAATGGTGCCTGATCTGTCTTCTAACCTATGATTCCCTCTTCCCCCTATCCTACCTCCCCAGTCGACCTTCCTGATCCTCCACGTCCTACTCAATATTTCATTCACATCTATCTTTTGATTTCCATTCATTCACCAATATTTTTAAATCATGAAATTGGTGATAACAGCATATCAGCAATGGAAGTGCTAGTTCCCAACTTATAATCAGTTTGATTACACAAAACATGTGATGACTGTTGAAACTTTTGCAAGGAAGCTGGAGAGACAGCTCAGACGTGGTGAGTAGTTTGTTGCTCTTGTAGAAGACCTGGGGTTTGGTTCCCAGCACCCATGTTGTAACCATTTGTAACTCCAGTTCCAGGGACCTGGTGGTCTTTTGACCTCTGCAGGTACCAGATATGCTCTTGATTCCCATGCATGCCTGCAGGCCAAACACTCTTAAAACAATTAAGTCTAAAAAGAATGTTTGCAATACAAAAAAACTATAAACGGGAGCATGGGGTGTCATAAAGCTTACTTTCGAAAAGTCATCAATGGCCAGCACTCTGTTTGTAGTCTCATACAACTCCCCCCTCTTGAAATAGAGGTCAGCATCTTTGGGCCTGCACTTAATTGCCTGACTGTAATTCAGAATTGCCAGTGTGATGTCCTTCTTCTCTCTGAATATCTCAGCCTTTGACAAGTATGCTTCTAAAGACAAAAGGCAAAAGGTTAGGTTTGAATAACACAGATTTGTATGGACTTTTAGCTCAGAGACCAGCACAGATCAGAACATGTTAGGCCATCTTCTGCTATATCATGTGGATCTGTGAGTGCTAGAGATTCAAAGATGGCTATGTTTCTAGAAAGTTCTGTGTCTAGACGATCAGGCAGTTAGAAAACAGCATATATGACAAAAGTATGGATTGCCTCCACCTCAAGACCTTCACGGTGCCACAGCTCTCATTCAGAAACTTGTGGCCAAGAAGAGAAGTACAAACCACCTCCCATCTAAAATTTCCAGTTCATATTCTCCTTGTAAGATAATTGAAAGAAATTGTGCTGAAACAGATCTCCACAGAATAAATTCAAACATAATGAGTTATTTGAAAAAAACGTTAAGTTGAAGCAGTCATACCATTCTTACAGAACTTGTACCTATCAGTTTATTTTTATTTATAGTAATGACAAAAGCCAAGATAAAGAGCCGAGTAATGCAACTGTCTCCATATGCAACCCACCTGCATTGTTTTTATTATATTTATTTATAAAATTCAAGTCATCCAAAGCATCATTAATTTTGTCTTGGAAAAGATAAATGAAATGTCTGTGCCAATAAGCATTTAGAAACAATGGCTCCACAAATATGGTCTGAAAAAACACATGTGGAAAGAGAGTCAGATAAGTTGATTTTCCAAAGGGGAAAAAAACACTACTAAATGAGTTTCTCAAACATCATTGATACCAGTGGCTTTACATGCACACAGCACAAAACCTCCTGATTCAAAAAATGTTTTAAATAAGTATCTGAAAATGCCAATACTTGTATTTCACAATCCCATAAACCATACTACAGTCACTTGCTATTCAACATCTCAACAAAAAATACTGTATAAATAAGAGTAATGTAAATAGTGAGTTATGTTATTTTTATTTTTTAAAAACTTACTTCCTGTAGATCATTCATAGCACTTTGCAACTTTCCCAGTTTTCTATAAATAGCTCCACGCCTACAATATGCAAACACAGGAATTTTTTTCTCACTTTTTATTTCTTGAGTCAACCTCTCCACTTCGGATTCATAATATTTAATGACTTCTGGTGGAAGATTACACTGTATTTGATCACTTAATTCCAGTTTGGGGAGGTCTGGCACTGGCTCTGGGGTTTCTTTTTCAACATGTGCAACTGGTGCAGGTGTTTTCTGAGGTTTGTCTTTAGCAAATGTCTCAAGAACCCATGTCCGAGGATCAGTATTTTCTGGTATTCCCCCTTTACTTTGAGCAAAATGATCAAAATTTAAAACTGCAGGTACACTGGGAGATCTTATTTGTACTTCGTATACTGGAACTTTAAGGGAACTTTTTTTCTGTCCAGGAAGTATTCCATGAGATGTTGATCTAGTTTCAAAAAAGAATGATTAATTTTTAATTACAGAAACACAATGATTCAACCACACACAAAACTTATTATTTTTTCTATTATCAAAAATTGGTAATTTATGTAATTCAAGTTGACTTTTTCAATCAGTAGACCTGTAACACAATATGAAGAATCTCTGTAAACTAAATAGAAATACATTTTTAATGCAGCAGCTTCCCTAGACTGCTGGGATAACAGTACTCCTCTCTGATCTAATTGGCAACCTCATCTTCTACCAAGAGGACTGCATTGGGGAATTTAGAGGGGATAAGCTGGAAGAGTTAAAGGAAACCCTTCTTCCAAAGGCTACCAAGAATGAGAACTTCAAGTTTATTTCTACAGTAGACTATGAAACGTGATCATTCAGATGCTTTCCAATGATACAGCTAGGTTCCTACTCAAATTACCCATTGACAATACAGCTTTCATTCAGTAGCACTGGATGTATTAGGGCAGTATAGTAGCTAAGGGAGACAGAATAAAGGCATTCTACTGGAAGTCTGGGAGGAAAAGGTCTTAGCCCCATCATCTTTTATTTACTAAATTTATATTGTAAGACAGTCATGGTGCCAAAGTAGGAGAGTAAAATTAGGAAAAGGCTCCCATCCCTTTATCCCTTTCTTATAACCTCCATTCCACATTATAGTGTAAGCCATTCTCATCTGTTGTACCTGGAGGGCAGTGTGCTGGAGAGTACTGTGTCACTGGACACAAGTTAAAGCCATCTTACAGTAGGGAACCTTAATTAAGAAAGTGCCTCCAAGAGATAGGAAGGGCTGTAGGCACGATGTAGGGTATGTTTATTAGCCCAGTCAATCATAGTTGGTGCCACCCCCACCCCTGCTGGTGGTCCTGGATTCTGTAAGAAAGCAGGCTAACCAATCCAGTAGGCAGCATCCCTCCACGGCCTCTGCATCTGCTCATAACTCCAGGTTTCTGCCCAGTTTGAGTTCCTGTCCTGACTTCCTTCAATGACGAACAATGACACGAATGAGTAAGCCAAATTTCCTTCCCAAATTACTTTCTTTCGGTCATGGCATTTCATCATAGAAATAGGAACCCTAAGCCTCACAGTTACTTAACTTTCTGCTTCTACTCTTCCCTTTGTTTAAGTCATCTTCCGTGTGCCATTCAGATGCTTATTTTCACAAATGTGTATCACACTTCCAAAACTATCTCTAGTGCCTAGAACATGAGGTTTTCACCCCACCACCTGCAAGATGTGACATTAGAAGCTTCCGCACAGACCGCTAGGATACCACTGTCTCTTTCTCTCTGATTTTCAGCCACATCTCCGTAGGAAGCCTCCAAGGCAGTGTACTTTTTAGCCCACTGACTCCCTGGCTCCTCTGTTCGGATTTCTAATCAAGTACCACCATAGAAAGGCTTTCTATGCCAGATGTTTTGTTCAGGCTTCCATATTTCTCTCCTTCCTCACCTTGTTCTCTGGCCTGGGGAACTACTTTATACAGACTATATCCACAGGACCCTTTACTCTCTGCTTTCCTTATCAAACCTCAATGAAGGGGCATAGGAAAATGAAGCCAAGATATCTATGCTCTAGGGTCCTCCAAAGTAGGTTGCCTCTAACTGGATATAACCCTTGGCTGAAGATAAGGATTTCAAAGAAACCTTTCCTATGCAACTGTTTTCTCCCAGGGTCTAGTAATTACTCCCTGTTTATCTTCTAAACTTAGTGTAGAAAATAAATTGAGTAGCCCCTGGATACTGCATTAATCGTGGTTTCCTCTACCCCATACCTTTCTCACATGCTCCCCAAACTATCCTAAGCTGAGAATGCACTCTATCTAGTAAATGCTTTGCACTAGAGGGGAGCTCAGGAAATATACAGAAAGGATTGCATAAAACCAGGACCCACGTAGACCATGGCATGGAGTGTTTAGGTGAGGCAAGAGACTACAAGGTTGGGTATGAATCAATCGCTAGGATGAAAAGAGTAACTACAGCATCACTTGGCCACTTTTTAAAAGAGATTTGCATTTTATTTGGAATTTTTTTATAAAATATATTTTTATCATGTTTTTCCTTCCCCAGATCCTCCCAGATCCTCCTCACCTCCCTAACCATCCAACTTCATGTTCGTTCTCTTTGTTTCTCTGTCACTCTCCCAACAAAGAGAAACAAAATCAAAACAAAACAAAAATAATGTAAGACGAAAAGTGCTAAAACAAAGCAAAATGAAACAAAAAGGCTATAGAAATATCATTGAGTTCTTTGTGTGTTGGCCAACTGCTCCTGGGCACAGGCCCCACCCTGTGGTGCGGCTAATGTACCCAGCGACACTTCACTGAAGAAAAATGATTTTCCTTTGCCCAGCGGCTATCAGTTGCAAATAGCTTCCTGATTAAGAGTGGGACTTTGTTTCCACTCCCCTTTCTCAGTGCTGGGTCCCCATCTTTCCTGAAGCCATGCAGGTCTTGTGTGTGCTGTCACAGTCTCTGTGTTCATATGATAGTGTTTCCTTGGAGTCATCCATCACCTCTGGCTCTGATGACTTTCCTGCCTCCTCTTTCACATGGACATCCAATTTAAGACTAAGCACTCCACAGTCTCTCACTCCCTGCCCAGTGTCCAGTTGTGTGTGGGTTTCTGTGTTAGTCCCCATCTACTACAGCAGGAAGCTTCTCTGATGAGGGCTGAGTGAGGCACTTTATTTTATTTATTTATCTATTTTGTTTTTTTATGAGACAAGGTTTCTCTGTATTGTTTTGGAGGCTGTCGGACCAGCATGGCCTTGAACTCACAGAGATCCGCCTGCCTCTGCCTCCAGAGTGCTGGGATTAAAGTCGTGCGCCACCACCGCCCGGCAAGTGAAGCACTTTAAAGGAATAGAATAGTGGCAGTTTCCCCTAAAGGTCCAAAGCCCTATGTACACTAAGGTAATGAAACTGCTATGGAATAAACTCAAAACTGAAATAATCAGACACAGAAAAAAAATAATGTTTCCCCAAATTACACTTATCTTCCCTAACAGAAGAAACTGGCTGAGAGAAGTCATATCCTTCATCTGTGAGATGTGATCTCCCCCTGCATAAATAGCTCTCAATGGCTGTACTGTCAGTTTGCATCAGACCTTACACAATCTGTGCCCTCCCCAAAGTCTCTTAGCTGTGATATCTCAATACTCTTGCAAAGCCATAGCTGCCAGTTCCTCACCCACCCAAATCTATCTTCTACTATGTGGCCTCGGATTAGTGGTTGCTGACCCTAGTGCAGCCTTTCTTACATCACCCTGGCAATGCCTAGCAAATGATCTTAGAAGTCACCATGCAACAGAATCACCTAGGAGGCTTGCTGAAATGCAGACTTAGGGACCTTCACAATCTCTAATTCTGCAAGTGTAGGGTGGAGACCTAGGGTTTGTGCACCCTGATAAGTTTCCACAGACACACTGATTCAAGGACACAGTCTTAGAACCACTGCCATACAAGAGTGAGCTCTATGCCTCAGTTGACTGAGAATTGATCATAAAGTATGGCATCCTTCCTTAATTGAGCTCTAACCCCTGGAGAGCATACATAGAAACACTATAGATGCTGAGACAGAGGTGAGTTAATGGAGGACCAGGAAGGAACTGATCGGGTTCAATGGTCACAGGGGACTAATAGGATTGTGGAGTGGTAAATCCCAGCTAAATCTGCTTCGCCATTGCAGACACCAAAGACACAATTACAACAATTAACTACAGGAACAGAAAGGTAATAAGAGAATTTTACTTTGCAAGAACCTGTGGCAATAACTAAATGGTTACAGCTTCTCAGTGATAAGACAGATGGGCAGCCTGCTAAGGTATTGTTTGTCTTAGATAAGCAAGGAACTTCTGGGTCTGCTGGGCATAAAACTAAATAGCCATATGTTTAAGATTCATATCCTCTTGTCCAGATGTCAGGACCAAAAGAGTTCACATGCCATGAAGCACAGATCCCAAGAAGAGTACCCCACCATGTGACACATGCATCCACAAATTTCCCCCAAAAGATTCGAAACACAAATACTCAGTAGATGCTAACTCTAAACTTCTCAGTTTCTAATGACACTGAGCCCGTTACAATAAAACCAATCAAGTGATAGAAGAGTGTTACTAACTTGGACTGTCTAATAATGCACTTATGGAGGCCCCACCCTGTAGTCATTTTCTCACTTTGGAACACTGCAGCAGTGAGTGACTGAGAAAGAATTCAGTGTAGATAAAGACATGCTGGTAATAAAGACCAAGCAGAAATCTCTCGAGGTGCACCATGCCACCCCAAACCATCCTGCAGTAAGACAGCACAAATAAAATCCACCAAATCACTGAAACAAATGCATTCATACCAATGGCACCATCACCAATTTCAAAGACAAATACAGGTGACCACTCCACATCCACATTTCCTGTCTGACCAGTGCTAAAAGCAAATGCCTGGAAGAAAATTACTATAACTAACCATGAGTGTAAATTTAACAAGGTGCTGATTTCAATGACCACCCTAGGACTGGATGTGGTAACTGCATTTACTGAGGCAGTGGTCATACATTTTCTGGCATCTGATTTGCAGCTTCTTTTTCCATGGCTGTGACATCGTACATCAAGGGAAGCTTGCGTGTACACAGCAGGAGCAGTAGGATGGCCTAGCCACCATCTTTCCTGTCCTATGATGTCACTGTGATCTGAAGAGCTAAATGGATATACGTGCAATTCCTATTAGACATCTGTCAGACTCTCGTCATATCCACCTGCTCCTTGAACAGTCTTGACCATCTGGGCAAACCTTTCAATATTTTCCTATTGCTCCAGTAAAAATCTTTGGTAGTATCCTTAATTTGTTTCTTTCTCCTCTCTTACAAATAGTCTGTGAGCAAATATTGTTGGCTATACTCCCAGCATCTATCTAGAATACTTTTTACCACCTGTGTTGCTATCACTTCAGACTGAGCAGCCATTTCTCACCTGGATCATTCACTAGATTTCTTGTGGGTCTCTATGCTTCCACTACAATCCCTTAATTCATACCACTACCATAGTGAGTCTGCTGGAAGATATATTTGATCATTTCAATATGCTGCTCTCCACTCTCAAGGTCTCCTTTGTTATTTAAAGATCCAAAATGTTCATCATAGCGGAGAAACATCTCTATCCTCTTCTCAAGTTCATAATGACTTACAAGCACGTTTTCCCTTTTGTTTTTAATTTGCATGTATGCTTACGGTGCATGTATGTATGTACAAAATATGTGTTAGGTTCAAATTCCTATAGACACACATAGACATGCCAGAGGAGGATGTTGAGTGTCACCCATTATCACTCTCCATTTTATCCCTGAGTCACAGTATCTCACTGAACTTGAACCTCTCCTCAGCTATGTTAGCTGGCTAGTGAGCTACTGGAACCCACCTGTCCCTACCTTTCCTCACCCACAGTGCTAGGTTACAGGCACATGCATACTCACCCCCAAAGATGGGGTTAGGGACACATGCACCCATGCCCATCGTTTTTATGTGAGTACTAGGAATTTGAACTCACATTCCTATGCTTACGCAAGCATTCTTACCCACTAAGTCATCTCCAGTGCCTCAACTTCTGGGCACTCTTATGAGTAATTACACATGTATCACTTACCATGGCCAAAACAATACTTGGTATTATCCCCCCAAACACTTCCTTGACCTCACTTTCTTACCAATCTCTTGTGTCCCAGACTATCAGTTCTAAGATCCATTTACAAAATAAGCACTTGACATTAAAATTTCCTTTACAGCTCTGTAAATCTGGGAAAGAGCACAGTTAGGTTTTCATTTGCAAAGCCCATTGATCTACTCTGCAATATACTCACAGTGGATGGAGATAAATATCGAGAATTGAGAATCCCCGCTTTCCACTGATTTCCCCAAAAGACTTTTTAAAAAGAAGATTAAAAAGTCACATTTAACCACAAATGTATGTCCAGTAGAAACATATCAAACAATGTTGAAGGAATAAAGAAAACCTTGGAGAAATCTCTGCTTAACCCATCCCCACCAACTACCTATACCACAGAAACGGTGTTAGAGCTTGAAGGACATAGTTCCATGTTCTCTATATAACATGCAAGCGCACATTTAACATACATGCATAGGCATAAAGCTGAATCTAGTCCCACAGGTTTGTTTAACTGTGTTTCCATGCACATATCAAAACTATGTTAATGGTGATTTAGTGATTGAACTGCAATATTTTCTAATTTTTTTACAATGAGCATGTATTACCTTATTAGCTGATAAAATAATTATAATATCTTAAAGGAAACAAGTAACCAGAACCTGCTAGGCAAGTTTCTAGAAGAATGTAAAAAACAAACACAGATAATGAGTGAACTTTTACAAGGAAAAGCTATAGTCTCGGATCATTGAAATTAAATAGTCCAAATTAAAAGGGAAGAAAAAGAGAATGATCAGAAAGTCTAGCTCCATGTTTTCATAGCCAAGAGTGTGGTTCATGGTTTCTCATTTGAAGGAACAATACAATAGATTAACCTGTTGCCCCATCTGCCATACAGGGAGGCCAGGCTCACAAGGTGGAGTATGTGTACACGTAATTAGCATGAGATGACATGTGACACTGTTGAAGGAAAAGGGACATTTTCAACAACTTAAATTGTGCTGTTCAAGATATTCCATTTGTATAAGGATAAAGATGATTTTGCTGTCTGACATGTGAGATTCTTGAGCTGGAAGTAACTTCAACAGACAAGCTCATCTTCCAGATGAGGAAACAGCCTAAGAAATAAAGCAGCATGTCCTGGTCACCAAGAGACTAGTGCATGGCAGCTAAAAGTCAGATGCAGAGATAGCTGACACATCCTGGTTCCTGGAACTGAACTGCCTCCAGTTCTCAGAGAACCCGGATAAGGAAAAGCTGAACCATGCCAGATGAGCAAAGACATCATCTAACAAAGGTTCTCTCTAGTCCCTCACTGGCCAGTCCCATGACTCAGGGCTTGGAGCCGAAGATATCATCTAAAGAAACAGCAAAGCCTCGCCGTTACTGCATGTATGTGGCATTCTGCCATAACCTAGCTGAGGTGGGAAGTAACAGGGGCAGCCTGTCTCAAGCGGACTGAAAAGAAATTCGTGAGGCTGGGACTTTAATTAGTCCAAGTGACCATCTGCAACAACAACCTTCTGGAGTCAAGATTTGACTCGATATGTGAAAGCACATGTGATCTATTTGGAATCTTTAAGGGAGTCAGCCAAGAATGACTGTCATTCAGCAAGAGGAAAATGGTAAGAATAGTATTTCTTAGTCACAAAAATTAATGAAAAATTCCCTAAATATGGAAATAAAGTTATTGTCAAGTTGCTCCCTAACTTGTGAGCTAACCATAAGTTAGTTTAAGATTTCACAGGGAAATGGAAAGTACAGATGTACTATCCAGGATACAGACGCTTCACTGCCAGCCCAGAAAGGCCCCTGTTCTACTTCCTGCAGTGAATGTCACAGTATATGCAAATTTTAAGACAGGATATTAAAGGAGGCAAATACATCTCTCTGACTGGCGAAAGCTGGCTAGATCGCACATATGAGAGAACATGCCTGGCTTATGTTTTCTTCCTTAGGTTGTGTGACCTCACTTAAAATTAATTATACATTCTAAATCTACACATTGTCCGGCAAATTAGGGGATTTTGTTTTTGTTTAAACCTCAACAGTATTCATGCATATGTTAATCCATATACTAAAATGTACATGTGCATAAGTGAAACAGGTAGAAAAAACAAGAAAGGCTAAATATTGGGTAAGACTGAGTGCAGGCAATGGACAGGGTCATAAAAGAGGACAAAGAAAAGTGACTTTCTAGTTTAACTACGCCATAGACTATTTGTTTGGGGCGGTAGATAAGTGCACCGGTGTGAAGCTCCCCAGCTTCTGCTCCCAGTGTCTATTTTAACTGTAGAGAAGTCCACTGACAACTACAATCTTTGAGTTTGGTTAATTTCAGTGTGTGATTTTTTATTTGCAACTCTTTTATAATAAGTGCTGAGATGAATTCTTAAATTGGTGAAACTTAGTACTCAAAATGACAAAAGGTCTTTAAGCATTGCAAAAACTCCCAGAAAGTGTTTAATCTGTTCCTATACCCTTTATATAGATGATGTCACCTGGGGAGCAGTCAAATTGCATGGTCAGGTCTTTCACAATGATAGCAGAGGTTCATACTTTGAAATCAACAGATGTATCAAAAATGCATGGCAAAGGTCTAATTCTTCCCTAAGGGATTTTTTTCAACTCAGAGAGAAATGTATCTGAGACCTCCTTATAATCTTCCTGCTACAATGGAGCAGTGGAGACCAGCACACAGGAGAACTCAGGAACAGCTGGCCAGGTACAGCTGGCCTCTGTCCCTGCTGTCACCCACAAAGTTTTAAGTTCCACACTCGAAGATAATAAGTCACCAACCACACCAAAAATCCAGCATGTCTTAATAATAAAAAAATGAATTAAATACTTTCCAAGTGGGCATGAGGTTAACAAACTATCAACTGAGAATTTCTAAAGTGAAATCATCCCCGGGCTTTCTAGAAACTTCTGTAAGATGCATTGGTTACAAGAAGCATCTGTGTTGTAAACAGTAAACATGAACATATCAAGAGCTGGCACTCTTTCCACTTCTGATCCTGCACATTTTAAAAATATGCTAGCTACTATTACCTCCAATTGATGTAAAAACATAATTACATTTGTGTGTTGATCCTCAAAGAAAAGCTCATAACACACAAAATATTTAAGCTTATTATATTTATTACACAATTCAACAAAAAATGTAAATCTGAAAACAGTTAAATATCAGCAATCTATTTTGATCTTGGAATAGATGGTGTTCATTTAGAATAGGGATTGGACCTGTGCAGCAAACCAGCTCAGCAAATGCATCGTTACATTTTTTTCTTTCCACTGAGAGATTCTTTCAGACATAAGTTGGATTCAGTCTTACAACAGGAAGTTAAATAATTCACATATTCATACTGTGGAATACCTACATGTTTTTAAATGGGAGATTTACTCTCCAGCTAGCCTATTTTCCACAGAGAATTAACAGTAACTATGCTGAATGAAATCATAAAATTAATTCCCCAAACTATAATATCCCCCACAAGCCATAAAAATTGAATCAAACCTTTCTAATTTCTTGGGAGGCTTGGATAGCTGTTCGTATACAAGTGGAAGCTTTTGAAATCTCAATCCTTTCTTCCATAGCTTCTTCTTTTTCCTAGGGTACACAATGTAGCTAATGCCAGCTTTTCTTGATGCTTCAACAAGGGAGACAGACAGGTATTTCATGCTGTCCGACTCTTGCAGAGTTTCTATGCTGCCCTTTAGGGAGGTCTCAAGTACGCCCATTTGTCTGGCGAGCTGGCGCTCCATCTCCTTCCTCTTCTGGTACAGCAGCTGTTTGAGGTTGCTGTCTATGTCATCCTTAACTACAATTGGTGGTGGGGACCCTTCTTTTCTCAACTCAACAGTAGACTTTGATCTCTTAGTAAGAAAACAGAAGTGGAAATATATAATCAATTGAGTTGTTCTACACTTAAAATCAATAGAATCACAACTGCAATCAGTACGGTTAGGCTTTATTGAATAAAAAAATAACAATATATTCCTAAGATTGTCACTGGTATATATGAACTGTACAAAACAACAGGTTTCATCATGACAGACTAATACATGTGTATAATGTACATTGACCACAATCATCCCCGTCCCTTTCTCATCCCTTCACCCTGCTGTCCTCCTCTTCCCAAAGACTCTCCCTTCTATTTCCATGTCTCTTAAAAATCTAGATCTACATATGACAGAAAAATACAGTATTCATCTTTCTTTATATGACCTGTTTCATATCATATAGCGATCTCCAGCTTACATCCACTGCCCCTCAAAGGACATAATTTCACCCTTCTTTATGGCTGAATACTACTTAATAGTGTGCATTCCACATATTCTGCATCCACTCACCTTCTGATGGCATCTAGGCTCATGATAATGTGTCTGTTGTAAACAGAGTTCTAATAAACATGGGTATGCAGATAGGTTTATTGTATACTGACTTTGATTCATCCAGGAATATACATGGGAGCAGTTAAGCTGACTAATATGGTAGCTCTATTTTTAGTTTCCTGACTAACCTCTATTGACTTTATACCACAGCTACACTGATTTACAATCCCACTAGTAGTATGCACACAGATTCCCTTTGCCCATGCCCTTCCCAATGCTTGTTGTCATTTATTTTCTTGATAATGGCCATGACTGTGATGAGATAAAGTATAAGTGTAGCTTTGGTTTGCCCTTACCTGATGGCTAAAAATGTTAGACATTTTCCCATATACTTATCAGCCATTTGGGCTTCAAATCTTGAAAACTGTTTGTTTACTTCATATGACCATTTAATTATTGGATTCTTCTGTCTGTTTTTATGGTTGCTGTTCTTCCTACACTCTGCATATTAATTTCTATCACACAAATTAGGGCAAATATTTTTTCACATTTTGTAGGCTGTCTCTTCACTCTGCTAATAGTTTCCTTCCTGAACAGAAGCTTATTAATTTCATGCAATTCCACTTGTCAGTTCTTACTATTATTTCCTGAGATACTGGGAATCTACTCAGAGAATTGATGCTCATGCCAATATCTCAGAGTGCTTTTGGCCAATATTTCAAAGTCTCGTGTCTTATATTAAGGTATATGAGGTAGTATGAATTGCTTTTTAGATATAGAGATCTAGTTTTATTCTTCTATGTGTGAGCATCCAGTTTTCCTAGAACCACTTGTTAAAGAGGCTAGTGTTTGTAACATATGCTTTTGGCACCTGATGAGTTCTCTACTTTATTGTGCTACCCTTGTGTCTCTTTTGTGCTATTACCCTGCTATCTTTAGTATCATGGCTATGTTAACATCTTAAAGCAGGGACTGTGGTACTTCCAGCTTTGTCCTTTGTGCTCAGAACTGATTTGGCTGGTCAGTTGTTTTTTTTTTAAACCACAGGTTTTTTTTATTTCTTTGAAGAATTTCATTGGAATTTTGATACTCATTGCAATGAACTTATAGATAACTTTTGGTAATATGGCCATATTACCAAATATTAGCTCTGCCAACCATGAACAAGGGAAATATTTCCATCTTCTAGTGTCTTCAAACTATTTCTCCAGTGTCTTATAGGTTTCATTATAAATAGTTTCCACTTACTATGTTAGATTTTGTGCTTGTTGGTATTTATCAACCCGACACAAATCTAGATATATCTGGGAAGAGAGAATCTTAATTGAGAAAGTACCTCCAAATAGATTGGCCTATGGTCAAGCCTAGGTTGCATATTCTTGATCAATGATGAATATGGGGAGACAGCTCACTGTGGGTGATACCACCCCTGGGTGGGTGGTCCTGGATGCTATAAGAAAGTGGGTGAACACGCCATGAGGAACAAGGCAGTAAACAGCATTACTCCCTGGCTTCTGCTTCAGCTCTTGCCTCCAGCCTTGAGTGCTGTTCTAATTCCCCCAGTATGAACTAAAAGATGTAAGATAAAATGAACCCTTTCCTCCCCAAGTTTCTTTTACTTTTGGTGTTTGTCACAGCAGTAGAAATCCTAACTAAAATGCATTATTTCTATGTTTTGGATTCCCATTGCTTTTCTATTGCCATGTTTTTTTTCTTTTTCCTTGTAGCTATAGCAAATGATATTGTTTTCCTTTCCTGTTTCTTTTTTAGGATGCTCATTATTGGCAGGTGTAAAAAACTAATGATTTTTGTGTGCTGATAGTGGGTCCTACTATTTTGTGTTTAGTAGGTTTATAAGTTTCCTGGTACTGACTTTACATTCTTTTAGGTAAAGGATCACAGTGACTAGGGATTAATTTGTCATCTTTCCCATTTGTAATCCTTTCATTTATTTCACTTTTCTTATTGCTAAGACTTCTAGCCCTGTATTGAATAAGAGTACAAATAGTGGACACACATGTATCATTCTTGATTTCAGAGAAAATTCTTTCAGTTTTTTTTTCCAGTTAGTGTAATGTTGGCTACAGGTTTACCCATAGATAACATAATTGCACTGAGAGTTGTTCCTTTTTCTTCCAGTTTCTGTGGGGATTTTATCATAAAGAAGGCTTTCTCTGTTATCTATTGACATGATTGTGTGATTTCTACCTCTGACTCTATTTATGTGCTGTATTACATTTATTGGTTTGCATGCCAAATCACACATTTGGCAAAACCCATTCTATTGTATTATCTGATAATAAACCTAATTTTAGCACTAATATACTAACATAATATAAGTAACTTGCAGTGGCTATACATAAAACCAACTTGTTCGTAAGGTATGGGCTTTTACTTATTCATATTTATTTGCTTTCTGTGTGCATGCTATCACACATGTGTAATGATCAGAGGACAATTTGTGAGAGTTGGTTTCTTCTTTCCACCGTGGGGGAGTTAGGGATCAAGCTCACATTATCAGGCTTAGTGGCAAAGGTCCTTACCTGCTGAGTCACCTCCCTAGCCATCTCCTTGATGTGCTGATGACACAGTTTACAAGCTAAATTTCACTGAGAATTTTTGCATTCAAGTATACGAAAGAAAATGACTTATGGATTTTGGCAGTGGTGATGGTCATTTTCTGGGATTTGGTATCAGAGTAATTATGGCTTTACACAATAAATTGAGTTCCTTCTCTTTTCATTTTATAGAATAATTGGAGGCTTTCTATTTTGAGTTCTTTAAATGTCTGGCAATGTTCTTAGGCTTATTCAAAAGTCAGTTTATAAAGTTAACAGTGGCTTAAAGCAAAGTCCAATAATTTGGTTGATTTTCATATAAACACTGTAAATTAAAAATACTATGTAAATTAAACATATTAGATTATTAAAAGGTTACAAAATTAATTTGTGAGTCTATTTTAAAAAACACTTTAACAACATTGTACTACACTACTATTATCATATACTGTATAATAACTTTCCATTCAATATTTGTAAGTTTAAATTACAAAATCCATTCTATTATATTATCTGATTAATCAACCCAATTTTAGCATTAATATACTAACATAATATAAGTAACTTGCAGTGGCTATACATTAATCATTATAACTTCATAATAACATCACTAATAAAAGATATTTTATCTTAAACTCTCTAGTGTATCATTTTCTACCTATCGCCTGTCTGACTCCCTAGTGCTGGATCATACTCAGCATTCATTTACATTGGTTCTAGGGATGGAACTAAGGTCTTTGCACTTTACCAACTGAACTTCTGGACTATCTCACTCACAGAGATGATGATGATGATGATGATGATGATGATGATGATGATGATGATGAGTGTGTGTGTGTGTGTGTGTATTTACACACCCTTATGTATGGATTTAGACCAAAAAGCCACAAGCAAGAATTTCACAAAAGCTATTTGTGTATTTAAAATGTACTCCCATCCATAGAGATAGTGGCCTTGCCCTATCTCATGAAGCTACAATTAACTCAAAGTAAAATACTAAGAACTAGCGTAACTGTTTAAACTTTGGAAAAGAATGCAACATGATTTTTATTGCTAGAAATGCAAACATTTTAGAATAAAAAAGCAAAAATGTTGTAATACCTTTAACCGTGAGTATGGTGCACTGGAATATTTTTTGATATTCTCATATGATGCAGATTTTTTTATTATTAAAGACTGTAAAACAACCAGGTAAAAACACATTAATCATAGTTACTGTTCAACGGACTGAAGTGTCATATAACAGTTGAATAATGATAATTATGTAAAGTGATGAAAAGTACAAATTCTAATTAAAATATACTTTCTAACTTAGTAAGTCATTTCCTTAATAGAGAAGAGCAGGACTTAAGGCATGTAACTTCATTTAGTCATTTTCATAGAAATGAAAATTGCTAATTTTTAATTAGGCACTCTGGGGCAAAGCCTCCTTGCTGGTGTAAATGGCACTGATCTGCGAATGTTCCACAGGTGTGCTGGTACATGAGGCTACATTCGTCAGAGCTGGGAAAGACTCTTGCCCCTGAACAATCCCCTTTATCTCCTTTTCTAATGTTTCAGGATTTTACACATGCATATAATGTGTTTGATCTAATCCACCCCGACTCACTTCCCTACGATTCTTCCCTATGCCATCCACCACTTTTCCTTCCCAACTTCATGTGCTCTGTTTTTTAAAGCCACGAATCTGCTTAGGGCTGTCTACTGAAACACAGATAACCTCTGACGTCATACATCCCTAAAGAAAACTGACCCTCCTCCCACAGTAGTCATCAATGGCCAATCACTCCTCAACTGTGGGTGGAGTCTCAAAGGCCTGTTCACACTGCATATTGGTATTTTGTCTTGCTTAGTCTTTTGCAAATCATGTAATTCATTTCAATAAAAAGAAACCTCAACCTTTCACTTCAGGCTAGGGGACCACATAAACACCATCACTTTCTATAATGTCTCCAAAATGGGTGTTATCACTTTAGAGTAAGAAAGCCCCGTCACAGTAGAGTAGAAACCAAGTATGCTGGATGTCTCTAGACAAATAGAAAGAAGTATCTATAATCCAAAACAAAGGTGTCAACTACTGTGAACAGTGTACAATTCAGGTACATAGAGAACAGGAAGAGGTCAGCTCTGAATAGGTAAGAACCTGGATACCTGAGGGCTGCTGTGTGCTGAGGGAAAAGGATTTCCACAGACTGCAAAGATCTTGAGAACATTTCAGGCCATGTGAGCAGCGCCCAATGAACACAGAGAAATGTCAGATTGCCAGCAATTTTTAGTCCACAAGAATTCTAGCAGAGGCATAGTATAGGGTACATGGATGTTAGATAGATGTAGAAGCATACAGACAATACATACTTGAGGCCAGGTTGTGAGGTTTGGCTAATACTCTGGATACATTCTATGTGGCAGGCAGAGACACAGCTGTGTCTGCTCAGACATGGGTGATGTAATCATACCTGTGTCCTCCAATGGGTGAAAAGCTACAGTTACTAAAGAGGCCATATGACAGGAAGGTATGAGAGGTGCCACTGCCACGATCTAGAAAATGAAAGTGGCTTTCCAGCCCAGAAAGTGTGTAATTTGGTCATCTGGTTATTTTTAAGAGATGACTACTGTTCTAACAGTGGTATGTATGGGCAATGACACCCCAGGCCAGTGAGGAATAAAAATATCAAACACACAGCAGGACAAGTAGCCAATAAATGATGGGGGGAGGAAAGGTAACAAAAGCTAACTGGGCATCACTACTACAGCCCCAAAGTACTTCCTGGGAATATGGGGGACAGGGGCAGAACATTGTCAGCTTAGATAGCTGACCAGAGAAGGAGTGTGACTTGTCCCAGGACACTGAAGTGCTCTGCTATATGGTATCCAGCAGACCAAGATGCCAAAGTGAAGCATAGAGTTGCAGACCCTAATAAGAAGAAAACTGTGTCCTGGTTATCTTCCTTAAGTTTCAGTACATTAAAAAGTCACTAAAATAAATTGCATACTTATCTCCAGTCCTACTTGTGGCTTAAGGAATAGCTGTGAAAACTCTTCAAGGACACAGAAGTCAAAGGAGCACACACAATCACCACATACAACAGTCACTTTTACTCTGCTCCTTGACTATAAACAGCTTCCCTTTTGAGTCAAAAGGCACACACACACACACACACATACACATACACACATACACACACACACACACACACACACACACACACTTAAACATCTAAGTCCTAGGCAAAAAAAGAATTGGAAAGTTTGAAATTTTAGGGGAGAAAACACACACAAATACCCTGCCTTTGGTTAATGAATACTATCTTCTGATCATTCCAAGAACACCACAATGGTAATTGATGTGTTCATATAGACACTACTGGCTGGTCGGAGATATACCTTAAAATAATAAGGCACTAAGAAATGATTTCCAGAATGACTAGAAAAAATTTCTGAGCTAAAGGAAGATGTAGTAATCAATTTAAATTCAAAGTAAAAGTTATACATACCTTAAAACTTCTTCTGGTGTAGGTATTTAAAATAACCACACTTTCCTTACTTTCGGAAAGTTTCTCAGTTAAAATTCTACTTGTCTGAACACTCTGTGATAAAAAGATTAAATGATACATTAAATAATATCATGGACTATTTTCAATGTTTATAATCACTACTGTTTCACTGAACAACATTGTTAGAAAAATAAATAAAAGACCTGTAGTAAAAGTACTTCCAGTTGTTCATGAGAGTCCAACCAGAGACTTCTTGTTAATGCAAAACCCACAATGCAGGTCCGGCCTTTAGTCAAATGGGAATGTGCACTTGTTTTCTGTAATGTTAATTCTTAGGAGTTATTGGTGACATTACAATCTCATAGAGTAGCACTAGACATCTTACATATCAACACCAGAATTATTATCAAGATGAGTAATTAGGCCTTACTGTTAACAAATGACTTCATTTTCAAGTACAAGAAAGTACTCTAAATGTAAACTGGACTGAAAGTTTTCTTAAATGACTTAAGCTTTGAATATTATCACCCAACTAAGTTACAGTGTGTGTGTGTGTGTGTGTGTGTGTGTGTGTGTGTGTGTGTGTACAAAGCCGTACAAATTACGTTCATGAATCTTATAGCCAGTGACTTTGGTATTCATAAACAACTGGAAGACCTAAATTTGATAAGACTATGCTATTCTTTATTTATCTGATGAAGTTATAACTTTATGGTTGAAAAATACTGAAATTTAAAAATCAGTTTCTAAAAGTAGTATGCTATCATCATGAAAATTAAAAAAGCTAAGGCCATTTAGGAATCTACATGAATTTTGTTCATCCTTTCATACTGTATTCTTAGAGCAGTGGTTCTCAACCTGTGGGTCGCAACTCCCTTGGGTGTTGAACTACCCTTTTATAGTGGTCTCCTAAGTCCATCAGAAAAATACAGATATTTACATTATAACTCATAAAAGTAGCAAAATTACAGTTATGAAATAGCAACAAAAACAGTTTTATGGCTGGGGGTCACCACAACATTGAGGAACTGTATCAAAGGTCACAGCATTTGGAAGACAGAGAACCACTGCTTTAGGGTTTCTATTGTAATGATGAAACAACCTTACCAAAATTGACTTGGGAAGGAGAGTGTTTATTTCACTTAAACTTACACATCTCTGTTCACCGTCAAAGACAGGGCAATAACCTAGAGACAGGAGTTGAGGCAGACACCATGGAGGGATGCTGCTTACTGACTTGCTCCTCATGGCTTGCTCAGCATGATTTCTCAAAACCACCAGTCCTGAGTTGGCCCCACCCACAATGGGTTGGGTTCTCCCCAATCAATCACTAATTAAGAAAATGCCCTACAGGCTTGCCTGCCTATAGCTGGATCTTATGGGGACATTTCCTTGATTGAGATTCCTTCCTCTCAGATGAATTTAGCTTGTGTCAAGTTAACATAAAACTAGGCAGGGCAGTATATTTTTACAAAACAGCTGTAGTACAATAATAGGCAAAAACGATTACTAGTCATAGCAGAACAAGAGACTACTATTCTTCAAAGACTGACTGATATGGAAAACAACTTTTGTGACTGTTTGCCCTATGTTCACTTGAAGACCAAGTATTATATATATAAAGGAACACTTTTAACAAAACAAAGACAAAAGCTTTCACACCATATTTTATGTCAAAACCGTGGAATCTAGTAACAAACAATGGTTGCTAACTGTAAAAAAAGATAGCACATCTCATATGCTGAAGCCTCAGAAACTGTCAAAATATTTCTCAAACTAAGGTGCCTCACACTATACATGTTATACTGCCTCATTAAATCCTCAAAACTTAAATCTATATACAAAACAATGAACTTCAGGAACACAGATAGAGCTATCTAGGAAGTAAAAGGATTTAAATCCAAGACTCTGACTCCAGAAGCTAATCTCTGCTTAGGCCAGCTCAGTGTTAACAATGGTAACTACATATAATGCCAATGACTTAGTTAATGAATACTGGAATATCTAATAAACCACAACACAAGTAGCAGTCAATTTCAAGAAAATGTAAAATATATACGGTATGTTATTAAAGATTAATAATAATACACTTTAAAGAAAACAATATCAATAATTTTTTGAACTTTTGTTTTTTTTATTTTTTCTTATTTTTTAGGAGACAGGGTTTCTCTGTATTGTTTTGGAGGCTGTCGGTCCAGCCTGGCCTCGAACTCACAGCAATCTGCCTTCCTCTGCCTCCCGAGTGCTGGGATTAAAGGCGTGCACCACCACCACATGGCAATTTTTTGAACTTTTAAAACCCCTTCTCACCTAAGTGGAATATCCAAAAACAAATGAAAACTATCCCCTCCAAAAACATTATTTTAAAAACAAATGAAGACACCAAGTAAAAACTGGTGAAATAAACTCAAAGCTTTATAGGAAAATTGTAAGTTATATTTATATTACCTTAAAATAATAAGAAAAATAAAATTCAATAAAAGAAATTAATAAAATGGCTAAACAGAATATCAACATTCTATGATAAGCAGTGAACTCAATAATAAAAAATTCAAGAGGAAAAACTAACTTTCACAAAGGCAAAAAGTGATGTAATAATTAAGATATTTTTTTGGTTTGGTTTGTTTTTTCCTCTCTTTTTAAAGTTAGAAACAAGCTTTTTTCACATGTGAATCCCAGCTCCCTCACCCACACATCCTCCCCTGCCCTCCCCACCAGGCCCCCCAGTCTCCCACCCAATGTCCACTCTGATCCCCAGGGAGGGTTTTAATCAAAGAAGGTAAACTGAATTCACTTATTTTTCTGCTGACAGGTCAGGTATGTAACAGTTTGAACATGATGTGTTTTAAACCTCACTAACAATGTATTTGTGATGGTTCTTAACTAGACTAGTATGTATGTAATATGTATATAAAGGGTAAAGTTTACAACTGAAAACAAAGAAACAAGAAAGTTAAACACTTTCTAAAAATCCTATTATTGATATGAGAACTGTGAGAAATAAGAAGGAAATTATGCAACATTACAGAGATTAAAACTGACAGAAAAATACATACAACTCTACACATATAACAGGTATGTCATAAAACACATGGCTTTCTGTAATAAATTAACAACTGACTCAAAAACTACTCAATACAAACAGCTCAAAAATTAGTAAGAAAACATTTAAATCATCAGAAACTTTCCCAAATGATTCAGTTCTGTCCAAACAACGAGTTCTTTCAAAATTTCAAGAAGATTCCTCCTATCTATATCAACTCTAGCATTTTCTTTTTAAGTAAGTAAACAAAGACAACTGATAACAACATCAACAAAGGAGGTAACTCATGTAGGAAGCCACTCAGTGGGATGACAGCCATCTTGGTCATTACTGCCATTTTGTCTGCCAGGTGCCTGGGCACACATCCCAAACCCTATAGGACAAACAAAGTTGTTAAAGCAGTCAGTAGAGCATGTCGTGCTGGCCACTGACACCTGCTGCACTGCTTCCTGCCTGACATTTAAACTCGCTAATAGTTTTTCAGAAAGCCCAGGTGCATTTCCGTTGGCAGCAGGCCACCTGTGACTGGCTCAGCATATTAACTCCTTTCTTCCTGCCTTAGGGATTGCAGAACTACTGCCCAAATACATACTTCTTTCTCATTCAATTTTCATTTATCTTATTATTTAATTTTTTTAGTTCTTATTGTTTGGGAATTCCATGTATGCAATATAGATGACTTTTAATCAAATACACCCCTCATTCCCTCACTCCATCCCTCCTTATCCCCCAACACACTTTTCCCTCCCAATTTGATGTGGTTTTTTTTTCTGCTTTTGTTTTTTGTTTTTTGAGACAGGGTTTCTCTGCGTAGCTATGGAGCCTGTCTTAGAATTCACTCTATAAACCAGGTTGGCTTCGAACTCACAGACATCCACCTGCCTCTGCCTCCCAAGTGCTGCGATTAAAGGTGTAAGCCACCACCACTTGGCTGTGTGTTGTTTTTTAAAAGCCACTGAATCCACTTAGTGCTGTCTTTACAGACATAGGTGAAAGTCCCTCTACTGGAGCATATATGTAGCCTTTTTTGTAAAACACCTCTAAAGAAAACTGACTCACTCCACCAGTTGCCCATAGCTCCTCAGATAGAATACTGGGGCTTCATGAACCCTCCCCCTTTCCAGGCTTGAATTTTGGCTGATTTGATCTTGCTTGGGTCTTGAGCATATAGTCATAAACACTGTAACTGCATGTATGCAATGGCCATGGCATACCCAACAAATATTATTTTGAGATGAAGCAGTGATTTAAAATTGCTCAACTTACAAAATCCCACAGACAGGTGGATTTAGGTCAGAATTCTACCAGACCTTCAAAAAAGAATTAAGTATCTTATTCTGTAAAAGGAGGGCATGCTTGGAAAACTGAGACATCATAGACATCTGGCAGACAACATTTTAGTGTCAACCTGAGGAGAAAATGCGGCAGGTGCTTGGTGATAAGCAGGACCTGGAGGGATTCCCAGATGAGCCTGTGCCAACTGGACATGTGGTCATGTGCTCTCCTCTATCATTCTGGCTACCCTTCTAGACTGGTCTGAAAGAAAGTTTGCTTTTCCACCAAAGTGTAAGAGACATTCCATCTGGTTTTCTAGGAGAACTATAAAGTCTTAATTGTGAGGCATACATCAACAATACTACCATCCCTGCCAACAAGTTTAATAGAGATTCTTAATTATTATCTATAATTTGATAGTAAATGTTCATTGTGTTCCTATAACAAAAAAGTACATGAAAATACCATGAGGATTCTCTACACAACATGCATGACCTCAAATAAAATACTCTTCCCAAAATAAAGCATGTTACTCTTATCTACCTGCATTAAGTATATAATTTAAAGAAGTACATTAGTCATATTTATAGCTTATATATGTATATCAGAATTTGATAAAATATAAGGATACATTTATATACATATATAATGATACAAGTGACAATTATTTACATCTACATTTCATCTCTGCAGTTCCATCCAACCAATCCTGACCATGGCAACAACTGAGTGACAAGTTATATAACAACTGTCCTGTAAATTTTATGTCAGAAGCAAATTATACAAGCTTATTATTAAATAACAGCAAAAAATGATATAGAAAATGCATTCATTACCTCATATTTTGGATATAAAGTTTCCCTCATGAATGATTCTGGAACAGAGAATTTGGGTGCAGTAAGATTCCAAAACATCTTCGAAGCTCCGGGATATGCAGACACCTTTGAAAATGTTATGAAAAATTAAGACAAATAGTAACAAAGGTCCACTGAATTTAGATGCTCAAGATTGTAGTGATATATTATTTATGATTTATTAAATCTTAACTGAGGATTCAGAAAGCAAAGTCAGCCACAAGCCTTAGAAACCAGGCACACAGCCGGGCAGTGGTGGCGCACACCTTTAATCCCAGCACTCGGGAGACAGAGGCATGCAGATCTCTGTGAGTTCAAGGCCAGGCTGGATCGACAGCCTCCAAAACAATACAGAGAAACCCTGTCTCATAAAAACCAAAAAAAAAAAAAAAAAAAAAAAAAAAAAAGAAACCAGGCACACACCATTAATCCCAGTAGACAGAAGCTAGGAACACAGCTTTAATCCTAGGACTCAGGATTAAGAGATAGATGGATCTCTGTGAGTCCAAGGCCACCCAGATCTACATAAGAGTGAATCCGTCTAAAAGAGAATTATAGTTCACACATTTAATCCCAACATGAGGGAAGCATATAAAACAGAAGCAAGGTCTCAGTACAGGCCTTTGCTCTCCAGCCACGCTGAGGAGAGGTTACAGTCTGAGGCTTGTTGAGAGCTCCTGGAAACAGGATCAACCCATACAACCTGGCGTAGAGGTAAGAAGCTAGTGGCCAGCTGTTTTGCTTTTCCGATATTCAGCTTGAAGTCTGATCCCCAGTACTTGTCTCTGGATCTTTCAGTTTTCATGTAACACAAACTCCTGTCAAGATGTTTCTAGTTGTTGAGAAAATGGTCTGATTCGACACACAGACTCTGAAAGCCAAGGGAAGGTGACTTGGCACACTGTCAGCTTAAAGGAAGACAAGTCATGAGTGTTAAGTGATGCTGTGATGTGAGGAACTAGTGAACCACTCTGGAGGTAAACTCACCAGTCAGTGAAAGAGAAGGCATGTGTGCTACCTTTTCAGAAATTTCACTTCTTGCTATGTGTTCTAAACAAGTTCTTACATATATACACATGGGGAGATGTATATAGGCCATTCACAGAGCACAATTCACTAAAGCCCAATTTAAGTGTCCCTTAGGAAAGAAACAGATAGCATTATAAACATTATATAAAAATATTTACAAAGCCATTCAGACACAACAATTATAATCCATAGATTGGACTAACATAGTATTGCAAATAATCATTTCAAAAATTCAGATAAAAGTTTTATTTATATAAGTAAACTAAAACATATAAATACACAAAGATATTTCTTAGCATCAGAAAGACATCAAGTATTAAATTATAAACTAAACAGGGCTTTGTTTTAGAGAAATAAAACTATTGTGGATGCTACCAGAATGTAGCTCCATGATGTTATGTATTTGCTAAAACTCACTGAACTTTGAACAATGAAGGCTGGTATTTAATGTCATGCAAAGCAAAACATTTAGGAAACAAAGAGGAATCCAGAGTGGAATGCAAAAAAAATTGATGCAGAATGTATTTGCCAATTGAGTAAATTAAAAAACAAATTCCAGTTTTCTTGCTATATTTAGGTATCAGAGACTGTAATTACCGGAAGCATGGTGGCATGTGGCTACTATCCCAGCCCTCCAGGAGATCAAGGAAGACAGATCAGCAGGTAGAAGCAAGCCTAACCTGAACTATACAGCAAGTCAATGCTGCAAGAAAAAATGGCTACGCTTATATAAAAACACACTTATGAAATCTCATTTAACACCTGTGGTTTTATTCTTTTAATAAAAATCTAACAGTCATTTAAGATTTTTTTCATGCAGGTGTAAATTTGCTGCTTTTTTTTCTTCCTTTTATTTATTTAAGTTAGAAACAAGCTTGCTTTACATGTCAATCCCAGCTCTCTCTCCCTCCACTCCTCCTCTGCCCTCCCCACCAGGCCCCCAGTTCCCCACTCAATCTCCACTCCAGTTCCCAGAGAGGATGAGGCCCTCCATGAAGGATCTCCAGAGTCTATCATTTCATCCAGAGCAGGACCTAGGCCCTCTCCCAAGAGAGCATCCGTCATTGTGGATGGGCAGCCAAAGTCCATTTGTATACCAGGGATAAATACTACCCAAGGCCCCATAGATTACCCAGGCCTCCTCACTGACACCCATATTCAGGGTATCTGGGTCAGTCACATGCTATCCACCCAGCCATCAGTCTGGGGTCCAAGAGCCCCCCCTTGTTTAGGTCAACTACTTCTGCAGGTTAAACCAGCCCAGTCTTAACCCCTTTGCTCATCAGTTCTCCCTTTCTGTCATTGGATTCCAGGAGTTCAGTTCAGTGCTTAGCTGTGGGTGTCTGCCTCTGTTTCCATCAGTCACTGGATAAAGGTTCTGTTTCCCAGACTCTCTGGCAGTGGGATTGTAAGCTGGCACTCCCCCTTTTTCAAGCCTAAAATTCATATATGAGTGAGTACATACCATGTTTCTCTTCTTGTGGCTATGTTACCTCACTCAGGATGATTTCTTCTAGTGCCGTCCATTTGCCTGCAAATTTCAAGATCCCATTGTTTTTTTCCACTGAGTAGTACTCCATTGTGTAAATGTACCACATTTTCTCTATCCACTCTTCAGTTGAGGGGCATCTAGGTTGCTTCCAGGTTCTGGCTATTACAAATAATGCTGTTATGAACATAGTGGAACAGATGTCCTTCTATGAACGTGCATCTTTGGGGTATATGTCTAAGAGTTGAATTGCTTGGTCTTGTGGTAGACTGATTCCCATTTGACTGAGGAATCTCTATACTGATTTCCAAAGTGGCTATACAAGTCAGCAAACCCACCAGCAGTGAAGGAGTGGTCCCCTTTCTCCACATCCTCTCCATCATAAACTGGCATTGGTGTTTTTGATTTTAGTCATTCTGACAGAATTGTTTTGATTTGCATTTCCTGGATGGCTAGGGATGTTGAGAAATTTCTCAAGTGTCTCTCAGCCATTTTAGACTCCTCTACTGAGAATTCTCTATACCTTTTAATTGGATCCTTTGGTGTTTTGGAGACTTGTTTCTTGAGTTCTGTATGTATTCGGAGATCAACCCTCTGTCAGATGTGGGGTTAGTGAATATCTTTTCCCAGTCTGTGGGGTGCCTGTTTGTCTTGCTGTCTGTGGCCTTTGCCTTACAAAAGCTTCTCAGTTTCAGGAAGTCCCATTTATTAATTGTCGATCTTTGTGTCTATACTACTGGAGTTATGTTCAGGAAGAGGTCTCCTGTACCAGTTCATTCAAGGGTACCTCCCACTTTCTCTTCTAACAGGTTCAGTGTGGCTGGATTTATGTTGAGGTCTTTGATCCATCTGGACTTAAGTTTTGTGTATGGTGATAGACATGGATCTATCTGTAGTCTTTTACATGTCAGCCTCCAGTTATGCCAGCACCATTTGTTGAAGATGCTTTCTTTTTTCCATTGTATAATTTTAGCTTCTTTGTCAAAGATCAGGTGTTCATATGTGTATGAGTTAATGTTGGGGTGTTCAATTCTATTCCATTGGTCTATCTGTCTATTTTTGTGCCAATACTGAGCTGTTTTCAGGACTATAGCTCTGTAATTCATACAGCTTGAAGTCAGGGATGGTGATGCCTCCGGACGTTGAACGGGGTTGAACAGGGTTGTTTTGGCTATTCTGGGTCTTTTGTTTTTCCACATAAAGTTGAGAATTGTTCTTTCAACATCTATGAAGAATTGTTCTGGGATTTTAATAAGGATTGCATTAAATTTGTATATTGCTTTAGGTAAAATTGCCATTTTTTACTGTGTTGATCCTTCCTATCCAATAGCATGGGAGATATTTCCATTTTCTGGTATCTTTAATTTCTTTCTATAAAGACTCAAAGTTCTTGCAATATAGGTCTTTCACTTGTTTGCTTTGCATTATGCAACTTTATCTTGTTTGTGGCTATTGTAAAGGGCATTGTTTCTCTGATTTCTTTCTCAGCCTTTTTGTCATCTGTATATATTAGGGCTATTGATTTTCTTGAGTTGATATTGTATCCTGCCACTTTGCTGAAAGTATTTATCAGCTGCAGAAGTTCCCTGGTAGAGTTTTTTGGGTCATTTATGTAAACTATCATATCATCTGCAAACAGTGAAAGTTTGACCTCTTCCTTTCCAATTTGTATCCCCTTGATCTCCTTTTTTGTCTTTTTGCTCTAGCTAGAATTTCAAGGACAATAGTGAAAAGATATGGAAAGAGTGGACAGCCTTGTCTTGTTCCTGATTTTAGAGGAATTGCCTTGAGTTTCTGTCCATTTAGTTTGATGATGGCTGTTGGTTTGCTGTATATAGCTTTTATTATGTTTACGTAAGTTCCTGTTATTCCTGATATCTCCAAGACCTTTATCATGAAGGGGTGTTGGATTTTGTCAAAGGCTTTTTCAGCATCTAGTGGTTTAGATTTTCAAGTTTTGTGGAGTACAGTTTTTCAAAGTATGGCCTGATGATTCTCTGGATTTTCTCAGTGTCCTTTGTTATGACCCCCTTTTCATTTCTGATTTTGTTAATTTGCTTGTTCACACTCTGTCGTTTGGTAAGTTTGGATAAAGGTTTGTCTATCTTGTTGATTTTCTCAAAGAACCAACCCTTACATTGATTTTTTTGTATTGTTTTCCTAGTTTCTACTTTATTGATTTCAGCCCTCAGTTTGATTATTTCCTGTCATCTACTCCTCCTGGGTGAGTTTGATCCTTTGGGTTCTAGGACTTTCAGTTGTGCTGTTAATTCTCTAGTGTGACTGTTCTCCAGTTTCCTCATGTGGGCACTTAATGCTATGAAATTTCCTCTTAGCACTGCTTTCAAAGTGTCCCATAAGTTTTTGTATGTTTTGTCTTCATTCTCATTGAATTCTAGGAAGCCTTTAATTTTTTTATTTCTTCCTTGATCCAGGAATGGTGCAATTGCACATTGTTCAATTTCCATGAATTTGTAGGGTTTCTGCAATTTGTGTCTTGTTGAATTCTAATTTTAATGCATGGTGGTCTGATAAGGTACATGGAGCTATTGCAATTTTTTTGTTCCTGTTGAGTTTTGATATGTTGCCAAGTATGTGGTCAATTTTTGAGAAGGTTACATGTGGCACTGAGAAGAAGGTATATTCTTTTTTATTTGGATGGAATGTTCTATAGATGTCTGTTAAACCCAATTGGATCATAACTTCTATTAGTCCCTTTGCTTCTTTGTTAAGTTTCTGTCTAGTGGTCCTGTCTAGTGGTAAGAGTGGAGTGTTGAAGTCTCCCACTATAAGTGTGTGAGTTTTTATGTATGATTTGAGTTTTAGTAATGTTTCTTTTATGAATGTGGATTCCTTTGTATTTGGGGAATAGATGTTCAGAATTGAAACTTCATCTTGGTGGATTTCTCCTATGATGACTATAAAATGACCTCCTTCATCTCTTTTGATTGATTTTAAAGTGTAATTTTTTAGATATTAGGATTGCTACCCACATTTGTTACTTGAGTCCTTTTGATTGGAAAATCCTAATTCAGAGGTAATGTCTGTCTTTGAAGTTGAGGTGTTTTTCTTGTATGCAGCAGAAAGATGGACTCTGTCTTCGAATCCATTATGTTAGCCTGTGTCTTTATATGGGCAAATTAAGAACATTAATGTTGAGGGATATTAATGACCACTGATTGCTTATTTTTGTTTGTTTTGCAGTTGTTGTTGGTGGTGGAATTGTGTGTGGATTTTCACCCTTTTTTCTTTCGGTTGTTGGTTAAGTGGGATTATCAATTGCCTATGTTTTTCTGTTTATAGTTAACTTCATTGGGTTGGAGTTTTCCTTCCAAAACTTTCTATAGGGCTGGATTAGTGGATACATATTGTTTAAATATGGTTTTGTCATGGAATATCTTGTTTTCTCCATCTATAGTGATTGAAAGCTTTGCTGGGTATAGCAGTCTGGGCTGGCATCCATGGTCTCTTAGTGTTGGTAGAATATTCATCCAGGACATTCTGGCTTTCAGAGTTTCCATGGAGAAGTCAGTTGTAATTCTGATAGGTTTGTTTTTGTATGTTATTTGACCTTTTTTCCTTAGCTTCTCTTAATATTTTTTATTGTGTATGTTTGGCTCTTGATTATTATGTGGTGAGGGTGTGTGTGTGTGTGTGTGTGTGTGTGTGTGTGTGTGTGTGTGTGTGGTTTGCTCTATTCGGTGTTCTGTAAACTTCTTGTACCTTCATTGGCATGTCTTTCATTAGGTTGGGAAAATTTTCTTCCATCATTTTGTTGAATATGTTTTCTGCCCCCTTGAGGTGGTTTTTTTCACCTTCTTCTACATCTATTATTCTTAGGTTTGGTCTTTTCATGGTGTCTCATATTTCCTGAATATTTTGTGTTAGGGATTTGTTGGACTTAAGATTTTCTTTGGTCGATGAATCTGTTTCCCCTTGTGTATCTTCAGCATCTGAGATTCTCTCTTCCATCTCTTGTGTTCTGTTGGTTATGCTTGCATCTGTAGTACCTGACTCTTTACCCAGCTTTTCTATTTCCAGCATTCCTTCAGACTGTGTTTTTTTATTGTTTCTATTTCAGCTTTCAACCCTTGCACTGTTTGAATTGTTTCTTGCAATTTTTGCTTTGTCTTTTCCTCTCTTTCTTGCATTTGTTGGAATTTCTTGGTTTGTTTTTTCTTCCATTTCTTTAAGGGATTTTCTCATATGCTCTTTAAGGACATCTATCATTTTCATGAAGTTGTTTTTAAGGTCTTTCTCATCTGCTTCATCTGCATTAGGTTGTTCAGGTCTTGCAGGTGTAGAGTCTCTAGATTCTGGAGGTGTCATATTGCTTTTCTGTTGCTGGGTGTGTTTTTATATTGTCTCCTTTCCATCTTTTCTTCCAGTTGGTGCAGAAGGAGTCTCTTCCTCTACTGGTGGGTATGTGACCGGGGTTCTTTTCCGATAGGTACAAGCAGATCCAATATTCTAGTGGCTTTCCTCATGTGCGGATGGAGGCAGTCCTAGTACCAGGGCCTTGACAATCTTTGGGTAGGCTGGACGCTGTCGGGATGGGATCCGGATTGTGCAGTTCCCAGGTCTCTGGTGGTTCTGCTCAGGGCACCGGAAAGCAGGCTGGAAACAGTCCCACGCTTACCTCGCCTGTCCCGTGGGTGGAAAATGGGACACGGATGCCGGCAGTCTCTAGGTGGGCTGGCTGCTGCCGGGGTGGGAGCTGCAGCGCACATTACCCTGGCCTCGGCTACTTGCAAGAAGATCACGGGATGGTGGTCTGTAAACAGGTCCAGGCCTACCTAGGTCCTTGGGTGGAGAAAAGGACTATAGTTCTGGCGGTCTCTGGGCCAGCTGAATCCCTGTGATTTAAGTTTTAAAGTTGTAAATGTTCAAAGACACAGTTCACATTAACAAATATTGAAGTCGTCAATAATGTTCAAGAATGCCTAATGAATTCAAACCAAAAGTTTAAGAACACATGAGGGAAAAAAAACTAATATTAAAGGAAATTCTTACTTCTTCTCCTGAGAGCTTCAGGTTTGGATTGTGAGCTTGCCATTGGCTTGTCTGCATCGATTCCAGGAATTGTTTCTCACTTGTAACAGGAACGCCATACAGTATTCTACAATGTGACAAAAAAATAAATTTGTCTTAAAGTTATTGATGAAGCAAAAAGGTTCACCCTCTCTTCACTTAGGTCTGTACTGACATTTAATATATGCACTAAGGGGATCATGGAGAAGTCCATTCAAAATTTTTACAAAACTGCTTCTAAGTACAATTGATTTGTAATCTTTGTGAGGCTCTTGATTCATTTCACAGGAAAAGTAAATTCACTTTATAAATATGTAACAAAAAAAGATATTAAAAACCTTATTTTGGGGCTGGAGAGCATTCAGTGGTTAAGAGTACTGGCTGACTGCTCTTCCACAGGACCTGAGTTCAAGTCCCAGAACCCACATAACAGCTCTTCCAGGGGATCCAAAAACCTCTTCTTGTCTGCAGGGACCAGACAGGCATGTGGTTTATAGACATACATGCAGGCACAACACACATATGCAAAAAATTATAATTTTTTAAAACTTATTTCTAACTTTCAAATTCATAAGCCAGTATCATGCCTTAGACTGGGGCCAAAATACCAACGTAAGTAGAATGGCCAGCAAACTTCTAGTTTTTCCTCTTGGATTTACATTTTGCCAGACTGAAAATGTTTAGCATCAGATCTTTCCTCAGCAGACAGCACAGCCTTATAGATAAGAATGTATACAGTGTACATGCATATATAGTATAAAACTTAACTTTGAAAGCAGAGTGTATCAATAATAAATGGCTTAAGAGACTTCTTAATAGTTAATGTTCTATTGTAAACATGCTGTAATAAGTATAAAATAAACATAAATCAGGCTTATTCAGATTGCAGCAATGTCAATCACACATGATTGACACACTCCGATTTTCTAACATTCCACTAAAGGCACATAAAATAGCTTTGTGAGTCATCAACTATCAAGGCTAGACATAAACAAACCCGATTGTCTTGCTATTTTCTAATACTCTGAACTCTCAAAGCCCATCTTACCAGCTCTCCATGAGGAAAGCCACCTCTTATCTCACCTAGTCAAATAGCTGGATTCATAGAGAAATTACAACCCACTTCGAGCAAGCTGAATACACAGAAACTCAGTCCTCCTCCTGGTGGTGGTGAGATCAGTAAGAATTCACCTGCAGCTGGTGTGTTCTAGATGTGACTTAGGATCAGGCACACCCACACATGTACCATTTAGAAGGAAGAAGGTTCTGGGGTTTCTGTTGGCAAGCACAGTCAGGACATGTTCTCCCATGGCAGTATTCCACAGGTACTGTTTTGTTAGTTGTCATTTTTATTTGGCCAGTGAGGATACCAAATCAGAATGAAAATCTGGGACAGTCAAAGACACTTGATTCCCTGACTCTTAAATAAGGGGCTATTGTGTCCAGCTTTCCTGAGACAGGAGGAGAGGCTCCCTCAACAACCAGTTCAGTTGCTGTGTGGGGTTCTGCAAATCTTCCCAGGTGAATGCCCATTTATTTCAAGCCCTCCACTGAACAGCAGTTGCTCAATTTCTCAATTCTGTTTCACTTCAAATAACTAAAAGTGTTTCTGCTTTCTGCCACTCAGTCTTGACTGGTAGGTCTGGAAAATAACAAGTTCTGGGCTAGAAACTAACATAATGAGCCTAGAGTATAAATATACCAAGATAGTGTAGTTTTAACCTCAGGCAGTGGGGAAGGTGACAACGGTCAGGGGAGGAGTGACGCAATAGCTGCCCAACAGCACTGCTGTCCATTTCTTTAGCTAGGAGTCACAAATAAGGTAGCAACTATCATTTAAGTTTACTGACTTTCCGTTCCCAAAAGCACAGCTCTGTAATAGTTGGTCAAAAGAATGTGGAGAAGTCGTTGACATTCTACAGTGTCAGCTCTGGCAAACATGCCCAGAGCCTTAGTGGAATGGCCATTCTAGGTCCACAACAGTTCCCACATGGCAGCGATGAGTCAGTTATTTGTAAATTTCTCTCTTCATTTTCCATGTTGCCTTATTTCTCAAGAAGAGAATCCAACCTTCCCAAAGTCCTCATCTTTGGGAAACATTACCATCTTATGAGTTCAGATTAAAAGTCCCCTGGACAGCAGCTGCCCGTTCTGTTCATTCTCTCCAGTGTCTCTCCTGTCCATAACAGCTTCTCTCATCTGAGTCCTGCGCTATCACTTTTTCTGGTCCTGTTCCTCCAGACTCTCCCTTCTATAATTCATGTTACAGACCTGTGACAGAGTTTGTGTCAATCACTTCCACTCCGTATGCTCCTATGATTAATATACAATAGGGCCTAAACTACAGCACCTTGCAGCCAGGATCCTCCACACCATGGAGTCCATCCATCTTGCCAACCCTACTTCACTTCCCCAATCGTCTGTTCAATCCACACATAATAAGAAAAAGTAAAGTAGGTACTGGATACTGGGTACTGAGTATCTGGCATTATAGAAGCAGCCAAACCAATACAAAATTGTAGTAACTGAGGCTCTGAAAATGACAACAACAGGGACCAGAAACTTCAACTCTTCCAAGACCGTTACAAACTCCCTCCACTCCGTCAAAACTTTGCCACCTTAATCTTACTGTGTTTCATGTGCTCTTTCATTATAGAATACATTCCATCTTGTCTTACATTTTTCTCATAATGGAAAATAACAAGAGGCAGGGGAGAGGACAACACTGATCATCTGTTTGCCAAGGACTTGAATGTAGTAGTAATAAAAATGGTGAACTCTGGCTGAGTAAAAAGAGTCTCACAGAAAAGGGTGGACCCTGAAGAATGAAACTCAGCATGGGATGTTGCAGTGGTTCCATGAGGGGACTCCCTAATCATAACAAGCATCTTTTTTTTCTTAAGTTTTTTCATTTAAATTAGAAACAAGCTTGATTCACTTATCAATCCCAGCTTTCTCTCCCTCCCCTCCTCCCCCACCCACCCAGTGCCTCAGCCCCCCACCCAATCCCCACTCCATTCCCCAGGGAGGGTGAGGCCCTCCATGGGAGATCTCCAGAGTCTATCATTTCACTCAGGGAAGGGCCTAGGCCCTCCCACAAGTGGCCAGTCTAAAAGAGCATCCATCATTGTGGGATGGGCACCCAAAGTTCATTTGTGTGCCAGAGATAAATACTGATCTACTACCCAAAGCCCCATAGATTGCCTAGGCCTCCTCACTGACACACACATTCAGGGGGTCTGGATCAGTCCCATGCTGGCCTCTCAGCCATCAGTCTGGGGTCCAATATCTCCCCCTTGTTCAGGTCAGCTATTTCTCTGGGTTTTACCAGCCCTGTCTTGAACCCTTTACTCATCACTCCTCCCTCTCTGTCAAGGGGTTCCAGGAGTTCAGCTCAGTGTTTAGCTGTGGGTTTCTGCCTCTGCTTCCATCTGTCACTGGATGGAGGCTGTAGGATGGCATATGAGGTAGTCATCAAACTCATTATCAGGGAGGAGCATTTAAGATAGTCCTTTCACTATTGCTTACTTTGCCAGTTGGTGTCATCCTTGTAGATCTCTGGAAATCTCACTAGTGTCATATCTCTCCTCAAACCTAAAATGACTCTCTCTATTATGGTACCTCTCATCCTGCTCTCCTCTCTTCTTCCCCAGATTCAACCTTCCTACTTCCCCATGTCCTCCCCCCTCTTCTTCCCCTCTCTTTTTCCTGGCTCCCTCTCCCCTCCCCTCCATGATCCCAATCTTCTCAGGATATCTTGCCTCATTCCCCTTCTCTGAGGTATCATGAATAGCTCTTAGGGACCTTCCGGTTTCCCAGACTCTCTGGCAGTAGGATTGTAGGCTGGCACTCCCCTGATCCATGTCTAAAATCCATATATGAGTGAGAACATACCATGTTTCTCTTTTTGTGACTGGGTTACCTCACTCAGGATGGTTTCTTCTAGTGCCATCCATTTGTCTGCAAATTTCAAGATTCCATTGTTTTTTTTTCCGCTGAATAGTATGTCATTGTGTAAATATACCACATTCTCTCTATCCACTCTTCAGCTGAGGGGCATCTAGGTTGCTTCCATGTTCTGGCTATTACAAATAATGCTGCTATAAACATAGTGGAACAGATGTCCTTGTTGTATAAATATGCATCTTTTGGGTATATGCCTAAGAGTAGAATTGCTGGATCTTGTGGTAGACTGATTCCCATTTTCCTGAGGAATCTCCATACTGATTTCCATAGTGGCTGTACGAGTTGGTACTCCCACCAGCAGTGGAGGAGTGTTCCCATTTCTCTACATCCTCTCCAGCATAAACTGTCAATGATGCTTTTGATTTTAGCCATTCTGACAGGAGTAAGATGGTATCTCAGAATTGTTTTGATTTGCATTACCCTGACTGTTAGGGATGTTGAGCACTTTCTTAAGTGTCTCTCAGCCATTTTAGACTCTTCTGTTAAGAATTCTCTATTTAGTTCTGTAGCCCACTTTTTAATTGGATTCTTTGGTGTTTTGGAGACTTGCTTCTTGAGTTCTTTGTAAATTTTGGAGATCTGCCCTCTGTCAGATGTGGGAATAGTGAATATCTTTTCCCATTCTGTGGACTGCCTTTTTGTCTTGTTGACTGTGTCCTTTGCTTTGCAGAAGCTTCTCAGTTTTGGGAGGTCCCATTTATTAATTGTTGATCTCAGTGTCTACATCACAAGCATCTTACATGTATTTGTTAAAAATGCAAATCATTGACACTCATCACACACCTAATAGATAAGAAACTGGGGATACATTTTCCCCATTCCTGCAGCTGATTCTGATAGTGTTTGAGAACCTCTGATTACTATTAGCTTTTCTAAAACAGCTTGGTCATAAGATGCCTTGAGGTGACTATTAAATCTACAGCTTCAGCCATTCTTCTGGAGATTCTGATTCAGCAGGCTTGGGAATTAATATATTAACTAAGCACACCAAATGGTCTGTATGCTCAAGTGACTCTAAATACAGGCTGGAGAGAGGGCTCAGTGGTTAAGAATGCTCACTGCTCCTTCAGAGGTCCTGGGTTCAATCCCCAGCAACAACATGGTGACTCAAAACCATCTATA